TGTAATTTTCACTGTTAGTTTTCCAAGGTGTGAAAATCGTTTTGAGGAGATGATGTCCCTTTGACATGCACACCCTTTCTAGTCACGTACACCTAGTCAGAGTCGGAGAAAGTCTGTGTAGAGGGAAGTCAGAACCAACGCCGCTGCAACGAGGTGGGATCTTCATCCAAGTGTGTTGCATGCCTTCCTTGCAAAACAAGTTCTGGAGACAAGGGGCTTTAAAACAAAGCGCAGAGGGAATCTGGCCGATCTATTTTCAGTTAACTGTGAGATTTCTATTTTGACATTTGGGCATTAGGAGCGCATGGCACAGGAAATGAAATCTGTCCTCTGCTGAAACCACCTTGAGGTGTGGAGTCAGGTTATATAATATGTTCAGCCACCCGTTGACAGAAATGCAGTGAGATAAACTGAAGCATGTGAACAAGTTGCGTTACTTGCACAGGATGTAATGCAGTACACTACTGTTACAGCCCCTCTGGTGTGGGGGTTATTGCCTTTCTCTAAACTGACTTTCAATGTCCTGGAATAGCTTACAATAATTTTATGTTTTATCACAGCTCTAGGGAGACAGAAGGCTTCTCCTTAGGCTTTTCTGTTTGCTTTTTTTTTAATCCTGGTCATCTCTTAAAGGTAAGGGAAGTTTAAATAAGAAAGGTCAGCCTGCCTTCTGTTTGCTTCATGGAGTAAAATCTATTATTAACAGAAAAATGGGAGTTACTCCATCAGTCTTAAGTTATTTGCCTTATTCTCAGCTCTTTTACATTGCTTGCCAAGAGGATTTCATTCTTGGTGTCTGCTGTGCAAAGCATGTCCTGATCTGCCATCCTTCACAGCTGTCCCGTTCCTCCTAAGGTAACTCTGGACTAGCAATCTCCTGAGTCCAACTGGAAAAGACATTCTCTGCAGTCCTGCACAAAACAGCTGTTACCGTGCTGCCATTCCTGCCAGAAGACCAAACTGAGGGGAACTGCATCCAGTCTTCCCTGAGCAGCACGTAGCAGTGGAGGTCTGCAGGCCAAACTAGACAGCGTTTTTGCTCATGACTCAGCATCTAGGAAAAGAAATTAGAAGCTTGGGCTGAGTTTTTTTCAGGGTTGTTATTCCAAAATGTAAGTGCTGCAACTGGGCATCAGTTTTGTAACCCATGCTCTAAGCCTTTGCATTGGCCTCTAAGGCGCTGATGTAACCGTATCTCCGTTTAAGTACAGTGATCTAATCTGGCTGTTGGAAGATGTTTTTCAGGGATGTGTTTATCCTGAAGGATACAACACCAGTAACACTTAACAAGGATAGCCCCCAAAATTCTAAGTGGCAGGAGACTTGAGATGCTGCTGGATAGTAAACATCCACATTTCAAATCCTTTTTGGTTGCGCATGGAGAGCCACCAAAATAAATCTGCCATTTCTCTTAGGTTTACGGAGTGACCTACATGTTTTCTGACCCTGAAGAACGGACACTTAGCAATAGGGCAGTCTTCAATGAACGGAACAGTTTGGTTGCATCTGAAGAGCTCAACAAATGAAGGAGATTTGATGGGCCCTTGGGCTGCCCCAGTTGCTTAGCAGACAGAGAGTAGGATGACCATTTTGAGAACGAAGCATCCAGCTTTGTTCTTGAGAATGTACAGTTCACTGTGGCTGCTCTTAAATCATGGTATTTTGCTGCTGTGAGGTAGTGAAGAAGGCTGTGTAACTGGGTGCTGACAAATGTATAAATGGGCAGAGAGTGCTGAGTTGAGCAAGTATTTGTTTGTATGCTGTTTCAGCCCAAGTCATTCTCATTTCTGGCTTTCCACCGTTCTTACGAACTGTTAACTGATGCTTGGTAGCTCGTACCAGTGTGTTGTGCTTGTGTAGTCCCAGGCTCAGGTCAGTATATTCCTGTTCCTTCTCTGCTGATAAACACTGTGGTCCCCCTCTGTCTCTTTGCAGTATGTCCATCAGAGTCTGTTTTGTGAGTTGGGTGGTAACAGGCACACTGAGGAGGATCTGTCGCTGTACCTTCCTCCTCCTCCCCACCCTGCCAAAGACACACTGAGGTGCTTCACAAACAACTGCTGAAGAAGCCCTGTTCCCCAGTAACAGTTCTGGAGCTTGGAATTAATACATAAAACACTGACTTTGTTTACTTCCATTTTATCAGCTTTTATGGTTAGTCTGGATAACTGAACCAGTGTAATAAAGCAATGTTTGCTGGTGTTGTTTTGGTACAATGTGTGTGTGCTCCTGCTTCATCTCGCTTGTCACTTCGCAGGGACCGAGGGCACTTGGTCTGAATTCCCTTTGGTACGAAAACTGTCAAAGGTTTTGGTGCCTTAAGGTAATTACCTTGTCCAGATGCTCAGAGAGATGGATGTTCCCTCGGCCCACGCTTGTGATTCAGGAATGCTTATTGCAGTGCTTTCACAAGAATGGTCAGCAGTGCCTCGTTCAGAGCACACCTCGTGTGTGTTGCAGGTAGTAGTGGCAGCCTGGCTCCTTGCTGATGATGGCACGATGCTCCATCAAACAGCCGCAGAGCTGCTGGAAGGTCTCTGGGCATATTCAGCACGGCACATCCATATGTATGAGGCAGTGGGGTGTCCTTGCTTGCGAAGCACTGAGTCTCGTCTACATGTTCTTGGCAGCAGCAGCAGCACCTGGACAGGTACTCCTTATGTATTTGTTAAGCCGGATGCAGTCTGCGGCAGTGGGCCGTGCTCCCCTGCGTGTGTGTGCTAGGTGATGGAGCAGCAGTGATGCTGTTCCTGCAGGGAAGTAAGCCAAGGGAGGATACAGCATCTGTTGGTGTTCTTCAGTGCTCCCTGTGCTGCTGAGACACTTCAGTCAGATTCTGGCTTCTGACCGCTACCTGAATCACCCACGTGTTCACAGTTAAAGGCTTTATCAGTTGGTGTCACTGATGTGCTGCTATTAGTTTATCCTAAGGCTTGAGCAAAGCACAAAAGTGATAATATACTGCCATCTGCTAGCAGTGTGAAGCTGATGTTTCGCAGGCTACCTGGCAGCTATGTGAAGCCAGATCCATCTTCAGATACCAAACACAAGTCATCAGAGGTGACCAAAATTCAGCCAGACTGATTGGGGTTGAAAGCAACGTTCTAGGGGTCAGCAAAGGATGAGACCCCAGCAGAGGGTGCTGGTGGCATGGCCTGCCAGAATTAATGCTCTGTTGCGGTTTTGGGAGCTAGGGGAGGAAGCCAGCGCTCCTTGGGGCTGTGTATAGCAGGAGGAAAGGCTGCATTTGGTTGGATGAGCACAGAGGCTTTCAGCAGTGAGGTGAAGCTCCTTTCCCGCTCACAGCATTTTGGAGCGACAGTCAGAACTTGGTCTGTTTTTTTTTTCTTTCCAATCATGGGAGCCTTTTAAGAAAGGTCACTGGTCCCCGGGAAGGAATTATCTGGTGGGAAATGGGTGGTGAATTTCCCAGGAACCGATGGTTTTTTGAAGCACTATACTGCTCCCTGTGCCAGCTGAGATGTTGCCCGGCTTTTCCTTCCTCCCCAAATTGCATGCATTGTGTTGTTCATCTTTCTCCCCATTCTAGCAAAGAGAATCTCTGTGTTTAAAATACTTCTCGCTTTGGAGCTAAGGTGAGGCAAGGAAAGCTCTCTCCATCCCCGCTGTATAGAATCAGGTGTAGGAGAGCTTTGGCTGATGCCCGGCTGGTGTTTGCCACAACGCGCAGCACCTACCAGCGAGCGGAGCTCTGAGTCTTCACTGCTCGGAGGGCTTTTGGGGACAAATCCCAGTAAAGCGTCGCTTGATGCTTTGGGATGAAGGAGAGGAGGGCTGGTGGGTTTCATTTCCGACCCCAAACGAGCCGAGGGAGGGGGAGGAGGACGGAGGTGGTTTCTCTCCCGCAGCGCCGGGGAGGGACGAGCAGCCTGGAAGCCTGCATTAAGGGCAGGCGGGGATCCAAATATTAGGCTCCCGGGTACCGATTTCAGTCCGCGGCCCCTAAAAAGGTGGAGAGCGTCCCTTTGGGAGAGGTGGGAGGAGGGAACGCGGGTCCTGAAGCGGGGGAACATCCTGCGGGTTGCGGGGGAACAGAGCTGAAAGATGCTGGAGGTGGGAGAAGATGCGGGACTCCGGGGCTGAGGACCAGAGCCGGGGATGATCCCAACCCGAGGAAGGGGCGGGGGGAACAGCAGCCGGTCCCGATGCGGGGCCGGGGGCTGCAGGGGGCGGGCGGCGGGCGGGGCCGAACCCCCCCAGGTGCAGCCGGGCCGCCCCGCCCGCAGTCCCCGCTCCGGCTGCCCCGACCGCCATCACCATCACTCGCTCGGCTGGAAAATGAGCTTTTTCTCCTCAAAGCGGTGGTGAGTGAGTCCCAGTTCTCGGGATGGCGGCAGAGGGAAGAAAGAAAGGGAAGGGAGGGGGGAGGGGGCTTAGGAGGTCGTGTCCGCGGCATCCCCAAGCAGGGGATGCGCGCTGCCGGGGTTTGCCCGCAGCGGCGCCCTCTGTGATTTTGGGCTGTGTTTCGGTTCCCCTTCCCGAGCTCCTCGCCATTCTTCCGCCGCCCCGCAGCATCCCCCCGGCGGGGAAACCTGGATCCCGATCCGCCGGGAGGACATCGGGAGATGCTCCCCGTGTGGGCCGCGGTGCTGAGACTGCCCGGCTCATCGCACCTGTGAGCGGGCACCGAGGTGCAAAACTCAGCACCACTTAGCAGATTTCCAACGTAGAACCGCGGAGCTGCGAACCCACAGCGGGGTGTACCATACAGGTATTGCCCGTAGAGCCCCACATCTTCAAAGGGCGTAAAATGGGGGCAGCCGGGGGGCTCTGCAGCAGTAACATCGGAGTCTGGGGCTGAGCACGGCTGAGGGATGGAGCCCAAAGCCCGGCGTTACGTTTGGGATTTATTTTTACTCGTAGTTTTGTTACCAACCAACCCACCGGTAAACTTGATCCTACTTTTCCTCCTGGCGTACTGAGGGTGAGATGGGGCTTTGTTCCTCTGGTAGGAGGGAACGGTGAGGGATGGAGGAGGATGGGGTGTGGGGACGAGCCGGGCACGGTGCTGAAGGAGAGGGCAGCCAGGGCTCAGCCCGCCCCTCGGTCCACAGCTGATGACTTTGGGGGAATGCAGCTTCCTCAGGAGGGGGTCTATAACGCCTCCTGGGTTTACTCGTGGTGCACGTAGGGTTTTGTGCAAGCAGCTTCTGGCTTCGGGTGGTCGCAGAGGCACAGAAATTGTTGTCCCTCCAATGTGGGGGAGATACTCCCATCCCTCAGAGGACAACACACTGCCATGTCTTTCCTTGCCTCGTCACCACAAGCAGCTGTCTCGTGCCCACTGTGGCTCCCAAAGGTGCCAGCAGCCTGATAAGGTGCTGGGATAGCGTATAAGGCTGAACGTCTCCTCCTGAGCAATCCTTGTTCCTTCTCTTCCGTGCCCAGGAGGGGCTGATGGGGAAATCCCATTCAATCTGACCTGGTGGCTCTGAGAGATGCCTCAAAAGCTGCCCATCAGCCCTTCAGGAAATGGTATCTGGGGAGAAATGCTTTGGAAGTAACTGGAGTATTTTTAAAAGGGGTGCTTGCCCTGTGGTGGAGCAGCTCATTCCCGGAAACTCATTCCTTGATTTTCCTATTTAAAAAAAAGCAAGCAAGCACTGAAAGGAATGAAACTTCTTAGATAAGGTGGTTATCCAGCAGGTAGAAAAAAGGTTGGGGTAAGTCCCCGTGAGGCTGCAGTGTTCTTGGCTTAGCCCACATGTGACACGAACTGAGCCCGTTCTCAGCCCAATCCTTGGTGCTGTCCTGGAGTCCGGGCTGAGCAGATTCCATACGTTCAACTTTGTCCTTTTCTCCTACTTTGTCTTCTGTGTGCTCAGTAGGCTGTCCTGCTAGTGGGGAGGGTCTGCCATGGACAGCGGGCACATGGGCAGATACCGGCTGAGCGGTGAGTATGGCTGTGAGCTGCAGAGCTGGGGAGGGCTGTGTGTGTGTTTGAGCATGGAATTTAATTTCCTGACATCAGTCTTTAAATCCCAAACTTTCCAATATTGAGCACTCTACCCTAAAAGGTGGTCGGATACAAATTGCAGCACACTGGGCTTCACACCTGGAGTTATCCAGAAACAAGAGTTGGACGGGGTTCTTTGGTCACAGTTTGGGTACAGGTGGCTGTTCCCTTCTGGCTCAGCTTTTCTGTTGAAGTGGCTCTGGGGGGCAAAGCTGCAATGGCATGTAGATGCTGCCCGGCTCTGTCTGGCCCCAAGGCAGGAGCACCACGGCATGACACAGGAGGCAGTGCTGCAGAGTCCCCGGCAGCTCTGTCATCACAAATCTCCTTTTTCTTTTCTTTCGTTTTCTTTCCCCTCCTCCTTTCCTTCTCGTTAAGCCGAGCCATCCGTGTGGCTTTAATCGCTCGGGTGATGGAGGCTGCTGCAATGCAGCAACAGCTGCTCGTGGGGCTGCCGCGTCCTGCTTTGCAGTCTTGAGCTGGGCTTTTTCCCCTCTGTATCGTCTCCTCGGAACTTGCTTTTTTTTTTTTTTTTTTTTCTTTCTCCCCCGCTGTCCCCCCGTTTCCAAAAGCATTTCCCCCCTCTTTTTCCTATTTGTGGCTCTTTTGATCATCCCAGGAGGCAGTCAGGTTTCCCCTACGGCACCAATTGGAATGCTGAGTATGTCTGAGAGGGATGGATCCGCACCCTGGGGATGGTGCAGTGAGTTCCGGTGCCGTGGGGAGCGGAGCTGGCACATGCTCACCTCACCTCCTGGGGCTAAAATCTCAGATTTTGTGCTTGCAATTTGCTGCCGAGCACCATTCATAACGCGCCGATGGGGTCAGCAGTGATTGATTCCCAGCTAATTCTGCGGGACGAGCTCCCGGCTGGGATACAACGTGGCCAAGCTCCCTTCCTTGGGACGTCTGACACTGTCTCTGTCCCCTCGCAGCCACCGCCAGCCCCCCGCGCTGGGAGATCGGCATCTACGCGGCAGGAGCGCTGGCGCTGCTGGGCATCGCAGCTGTCAACCTGTGGAAGCTCTGGCGTTCCGGCAGCTACCCTGCGCCTTCCCCGTTCCCCAACTATGACTACCGCTACCTGGAGCAGAAGTACGGGGCGGCGTATTCAGACATCAAGCACAAGGTAAACCATAAAAAGAATGCAGGTGGAAAGTTGGGCTGACTCCATTCCTCTTGAGATACACGCATTGGGGCAAAGTGGGGGAATGGTTTAAGTGGGCATGATGGTCACGGGCTGATGGTTGGGCTTGCTGGTCTTAGAGGTCTTTTCCAAACTTAATGATTCTGTGATGCCATTTGGGGACATAATAATAATAATGATAATGTAATTATGATTTGATGGTTGGACTAGACAATCGTAATGGTCTTTCAAAACCTTTAGGATTCTGTAGTTGTGTGAAAAGCCATTATGTACCCCAAAGTGCCTTGGAGCATCTTGGCTGTCCTCTTGTATGCAGAGGGAGCGAACTCACTGCCTGCTTCTCCCTCCTGGCAGCGTGGGGCAGCGCTGGGCTCAAAGCTGTTGCCCAGCCGCAAAGCCAGCCTGAGAGGCACCAACACCTGCGAGAGCATCAATGAGCTGGGCAGCCTGGAGCTGATGAGCAGGGACCTAGGGCTGGCCCCCTATGGCCCCCTGAAGAAATCCGTCTCAGCTGACTCGCTCAACTCCGTCTCATCCATCGGGAACAACTTTGGGCAGGATTTCACCGTGGGGCAGGTGGAGGTGTCCATGGAGTACGATGGAAAGGCAGCCGCCCTGCACGTCAGCCTACTGCAGGGCAAGGATCTGCTGGAGAAGGAGGATGCCCGCTTTGAATCTTGCTTCATGCGCATCAGCCTGCTGCCAGCCGAGCAAATTGTTGGCATCTCCCGGGTGAGCCCCTCGGGCTTTTTGTGGAATCCCTGAGTGGTTGCTTTGGTTTTGGATTGCTTTCCCTCTCTGCATGAGATGGGTGGCCAAAAAATTTTGCAGGATTGGGTAAAAAGGCAATGGGATGACCTTAATATTCTCTTCTCTTTCTGTGAGCATGGCCACTTTTGGAGCAAAACCTGTTATTTAATACCCCCTTGGGAAAGCAGCACCCCCCAGGTTCCTTTGGCACCTGCTTTTTGCAGAGGGATTTTGCAATGCATTTGGGGCCCGCAGCTTGATTTCATCAAACTGTTCCTGAAAAGAGCATAAAGCCTCATCCCACGGAATAAACCCACTTCTATGGGGGTGGAGGTTCCCAAAAAGGCAGTGAAATATCCTCCTGGCACCCTTTTAAGACCATTTTTACATCCAAAGATCAGGCTGAGTATTTATGCTCCAGAGATATTTATTATTTAGCATCATTATTTATAATTCACCAGCCCTATTTACCATCTTTTGCAATCTTGAGTTACAAAGACAGTATTTTTTTCCTTTAATGCTCTGCATTATTATTATTATTTTTTAATAATAACTTACATTTCTATAGTAGTGTTCCTACAGATATCCCAAAAATACAACATAGGCTGTGAGCTGGGAGTCATCAGTGGTATAAAGCAAATCTTCTGCCCATCTGGTTTTCCCCCAGAGGTACTTGAATCCCTTGGGGTTGCAGGGGCTGGTCATACCATGTGTTAAAAGTGGACCGACCGCAGGGATCGTCTACAAGGATTTCAGCATCGAGGTCCCAGCGGGTGTTGCCATGGTTTTACGGTTAGTGATGGTGCTGGCTGTGGCCCTTCTCCAACTCACTCCTCCACAGATCCAGCGCGGTGCCTACGCCGTGGCCTTCAATGAGCGCTTCTCCATCCCACTGGACCCTGTGGCACTGGAGGAGGACAGCCTGCGCTTCTCTGTCTTCGGTATCGACGAGGATGAGAGGAACATCAGCACCGGTGTGGCGGAGCTCAAGCTCTCTGACCTGGACCTGACTGTGCGTCCCTTCAATGCTTGGCTCTATCTGCAGGACACGAACAAGGTGAGGTGGGGTGATGCTCCTTGTGCTTTGGGGTTTTGGGGGTTTTCACCCATTCCCTCATCCCATCTGGTGGGTGATGGCACGCTCTGTCCTGCAGGCAGTCGACACAGTGGGGGAGATTCTGCTCTCCCTCAGCTACCTGCCCACAGCCGAGCGGCTGACGGTGGTGGTGGTCAAAGCCAAGAACCTCATCTGGAGCAATGGCAAGGGGACTGCAGGTGAGCGTGGGGCCATCTCAAGGCCCCAAAGCTTTGGGTTGGACATGGGTGCTTGTCCTGGTACATCCCAGAACTCTCTGTGAGTGCTTGTTGGAGTAAAACCAGTCTGGGGACAACCCTGCTGGATTGGGATGCGGTGGGTTGGGATGGCTTTCAGCATGGCTGACACCATGGTTGTTCTCTCCCCTTGGCCCTGAGCAGATCCCTTTGTCAAAGTCTACCTGCTGCAGGATGGGAGGAAGATCAGCAAGAAGAAGACGGTGGTGAAGAGGGACGACACCAACCCTGTGTTCAACGAGGCCATGATCTTCTCAGTGCCGGCCATTGTGCTCCAGGTCTGTCCTGCTACTCCTTGGGGACCACAAACCCCTGTGGATCCAGTAAGGACTTCCTGGGATGGAATGAGAGTCGTAGGAGCTGTGGTTGTGCATATGCATCAGTGGGATGCGGTGGTATGGGAGATGGGCACATACAGAGTATGGCTGAGCATGTAGGGATAAGCATGTATGATTTTTGGGTATGGATGATGCAGGGGGATGGGTAAGTATTGGGATATTGTGTAATACATAGGGTATGGCTGCTGGGGGAGATGGGTACGTGTGACATGAGGGCGAATGCATGTGTGTGGGGTGTGCTTGTGTGTGTAGGTGGCTGCATATATGTGTTTAGGGGATGCGGGGGAAGTAAGGTGGTGTATAAGTATGGGATGGATGTATACATAAAGGCTATAGCTGTGTGTGAGGATGATGTGCATATATAGTTTTCTACTATATGGGGAGGACGTAGTGGTATGTGTATGGGCCAGGTGGGTACGTAGGGGAAAGCATACACATAAGGTATGGCTACTGGGCTGATAAGCACGGGTAGTACAGGGGGTATGAGTGCAAGAGGTATGTTGTGTAAGTGCTGACAGCCATCACTCCATGCACCCCTGCAGGACCTGTCCCTGCGGGTGACGGTGGCTGAAAGTGGCGAGGATGGCCGTGCTGACAACACGGGCCACGTCCTGATCGGCCCAGCAGCCAGTGGCATGGGCATCACCCACTGGAACCAGATGCTGGCCACGCTGAGGAAGCCTGTGTCCATGTGGCACCCGCTGCGGAGGAATTAGGCTGCTGGCGGGGGCACCCTGCACACCTTGGGACCCTGTGCCCCAATGCCAGCTCTGCCCTGGCCACAGTGGCCAAGTGCCACTGTCTGGAGGTGAAAAGTCAGAGATGGCCAGAGCATCCTGCTACCAAAAGCCTCCACTGGGAGGAGGAGGATGGAGAAAATCCTGTCCGCACCTCTCCTCATCCGCATGCGCTGGGGGCTGCTGAGGGACCTGCCGAAGATGGACCAAAACCAGCAAAATCCTCCTCAAACTGCTGTCTGGGTGCCAGCCACAAGCTCCTCAGCATCCTGCATGCCCTCTGCTGGGCCCCCAAAACCAATGGTGACCTCAGATGTGGCCTCTGAGGGCTTCTGAGGGGACATGGGATTCTTTGGAAGGATTTTTGGCAAGCGGAAACAGAGAGGGGTGATAAAGTGTTGGCATGGTGCAGTTTCTCTCAGCATGTGTGGTCTTTCTGTTGGGTTTCAGAGGGGTTTCAGTGTACTGCACCAGGGCTGAAACCCTCCAAATTCCAATGAAAAAGGGAAAAATAATAGTAGAAAAAAAAGTTGTTGTTATATATCTCTTTTTTTCTTCCATCATTTTTCTAGCAGTGTCAGTTTCTGCTTTCCTACTGGCTGCCAAGGGCTGTCTGTCCCCAAACGTCATGGGTTTGAGGACAGGTCCAGGCTGAATCATCCCCTAAAGGCTAAATGTGGTCACCCCAAACCCTTTTCCCAGCTTAATTAACCCCGTGGATTCCCTAGCAGCAGGGCAGTTCTACAGAAATAGGAAACACCCCCCAAATTTTGTATTTTTAAGCTTCACAGGGAAAGGAGAGGAAAAGCTCTTTAGATGCCGTCTGCTCATGGGCTCCCAGCCCAAACAAGGTCTTCTGGGTAAGATCTGCTGCTCTGGGGAACCAGTTCCCCCTGTTTTCCGGAGGTGAACAGATGGAGGGATGCGTGGGGCAGAGGATGCCCTGGGGCCGTGTCCCTCAGCTTTTCCCAGCCTGCAGGTTGCCAGCAGGAAGCCAACAGGGAAACTGGGGCTCTTTGGGGGCTGTTTGCCAGAGTGGTGGCTGTTTGCCAGGGTGAGCTGGGGAGGGGATTTTGTTCCTTGAATGGTTTGAGCTGAAAATAAACAAACGTGAGTGAGCCATTCAACCTGATTAAAGACAACATCATGGTGGTACCCTGAGCTGGCACCAATTTTCCTCTCTGCTCCTCTGCCTGGCTTTTATTTTGCAATTCCCCTACATAGGCTTCTTCCCCCTAGCTCATAGGTGCCAAGATTTCCTTCTCCCACATGCTGGCTCTTCCTCCTCCTCGCTCCTCGCTCCTCCCTCCAGGAGCCCCCATGTCCCATCTGCCACTGTCCCTTGGCCCTGGGACCAGGGTACAAACCAAGGCTGTGCTCAGAACAGCTCTGCTTGGGATTGCCAGTGCAGTTTGCTGAGGGATGAGGAGAAGGTTCTGTTGTGGACTTACGCTGTTTTTTTTTTGTGCGTATGGACATTAGTGCACTGGGATCACAGTGGGAAGGAGAGTGGTACCCAGGGCTTTTCACCGCCCGCAGACATTTATTTTTTGCAGTAGCAGAGAGAAATGTCACAGTGACAGCTGATTGCTTTCAGTGTTTTAATATCCGTCTTTATTGGCATGCTGCAGCCTCTCTGTGTACATCCTTTACTTTGTCAATAAGGATAACTGGGACAAAAGAAAGTGCTCTCCTCCATCTGAGGTTGTGAGGCCCCAGTGCCTATATGTTCAGCAGCTATGGCACTGACTCCATGCTGTCTACCACCTAAAACAAGAGCTCCCATTTTCTACCACTGTTTAGCAGCACCTTTGCTTTATGCAGTCCAATCTGTTGGCTTCAAGTATCCAGAAAGAGAAAATCAGCTCCTTCACTTCTCCTTGCCTTTCTTCTTGCTCTTGCGCTGGTTGGTCAGGTCGCTGAGCTTCTTGTCCAGGCGGTGCTGGAGATGGGCTCTCTTGGCAGGGTCCAGGGATTTGTCCTTGGGGCTGCTCCCAGGGTGCAGAACCCCTTCCCTGCTGATCCACTGCCGAGCGTGTGCCTTGGCCTTGTCCCCGCAGCCATGAACCTAGGGAGAGAGGGGACAGTGGTGGAACTGCGTGTGACATGGAGGGACGTGGGCTGTGAGTATGGTGGTGATGGGTTGATGGTGGGACTTAGAGGTCTTCTCCAACCTTAATGATTTTGTGAATCAGCTGCTTCTGCTGGAGCCCAGAGCTCCTCTTCCACCTGCTCTGCATTCCCTGAGTCAGTTGAATCACAGAACATCCTGAGTGGGAAGGGACCCATAAGGAAAGGATGAGGAAGTGGGGGGAAAAACACTTGCTCAACAGGGGTTCTGGCTCCTTTGAGGTGGCTCTAGGTAAGTGCTGACCCACACCAGATTCAGGTGTGAGTAAGAGATCCTTGGTTATTTGACACTAAGGCCTGATAATATGCAGAAAAAGGGCTGAACTTTGAAAAGTAAGAAAAACTCATTGATGTGGATTGTACTCCTCCAATTATTTCTCATTACAATTCAGCAGGGAGAGGTGATTCTGCAGGAAATAAATTTATATCCCAACCAGCTTGTGAATGACCATAAATACAACTATTCTTTGCCATGGAAACAGATAGTACTTGACAAGGGGAAAATCTATGCTGAGGATTTATAGGTCAGCTTGCTAAACGTTGCTAAGCCCCAGGAGGCAAAGAGCTACGCTTGGGTGACACAGGATGAGGAGTGGTGGGAGCAGGAGGCCATGGATGAATGGAAGCTCATCACCTCTCAGCCATGTCCACTCTGACTGCAGGGCTGAGGCCTAAGGCTGGCTCACCGTGAAGCTTCCAGCCCTGCAGATTGAACCTACTTGTCTGCTTCAGCACCAGAATGGAAATGCCAGACAATAGGAAGGGTGGGCAAAAAGCAAAGGGTGGAGGGGGAGAGAGAAAGCTCTCAGGAGGAGCTGTGCAGAACCTCCATGTGACAGCCTCTTCTACCTTTATAAAAACATCTGACAATGATGGTTTGGCTTTAAGCTCCCTGCAAGGAGGATCTCAGCCTGCGGATCTCTCACTTAAAGCCCTTCTGCTGGACGTATCCTGCTCCTCTCCAGCCCCTGGGCAGCTTTCTGGCCCTGTGCATACCTCTGGGATGTGATGGCTGAGGCAGTACCGCCTGTTGCAGTGTGGGCAGAACTGGCCCAGGGTTGTGACACTGGCTTTGCAGCGGGGGAAGCCACAGGTGTTGTCAGCTTTAACGGCAGCAGAAATCAGAGCGTCTATATCTTCCTCTGATGCACTGTCTGCTGTGGTTTTAGCCACTGTTTTTCCTAGGTAGAGGGCAGAAGAGATGCAGAGGTTTAGCAAACCCAAATAACTCTGAGACCCAGGCAGTGCAAAGTCCTGGAGCTAGTGTATGCAATGACAGAGACTTCGTGGCACTCATTGTGACACTGAACTCTGGCTCGTGCTCAAAGGCACAAGTGGGAACTGAGGGTCTCCCTTTGCTAGATGATGGCTGGGGGAGAGGAAGGGACCACACCTGGCTGGGACAAGGATTCTCAGCTCTGATTCACCCCCACCTCCATGTTTAGGAGGGGCAAGTACCTCTCAGCTCTCTCCCCATGTTTGAGAGCTTCCAGTCAATCTCCTGCTCCTATAAAGTGAGGGACCTACCTTTGCCATCGCTTTTGTCTTTCTTCCTGCTGCTGCTGCCCCAAGTGCCAGCGCTGGACTCTTGCTCTTTCTTTGCCATCTCCTCCTGACTGGCCTTCTCCCTCTGAAATCTCTCCAGGTGCAGCCTTTTCAGGTCCACTTTCCCTGAGCAATCACTTCTTCCTCCTGGCTCAGCAGGGGCTGGAGCTTCCCCACTAGAGTCCTGTGGCTGAGGAGGGGGCTGCTGCTCCCTGGGGGTTACAGCTGGGGCAACCACAGCCTGACCAAGCTCCTTCTTGCGAATGCTGATGTAGCGGTCTCTGCCCTCCCCGGTGCTGACGTGCTGCAGCCCATGCTCCTCGGCCAGGAGGTGGACCAGCATCCGGTCGTGTGGACTGAGAGATGAGGGGAAGTCCAACTGCGTCTCACCACCCTCCAGGAAGGCTTCCAGCACAGCTTTAAATTTGTTCGTGTCAGCTTTTGTCCCCGGGCTCTCCCTCCCAGGTCTACTTGTGCTAGGAGAGCAACGTGCTTCTTGTTTTTGAGAAGCTGCTTTAGCTGCTGTTGCTTTGGGCTTCCTCCCTGCAGCTTGCTGCGGTTTGGGGCTGGGTGCTGCAGGGGCCTTTGTGCTCTGCTGCCGCTCTCCTCTGTGGGAGTAGTTTTCAGGGACAAGGTCATCGAGGTACTCAAAGGCCGTGCGCACCTGGCCGTGCTGCCTGAAGTGCTCCAGCAGCCGTCCCAGGAAGGCCTGGCTGCCCACTGTGTGGCTGTCGCAGATGATGGCCACGTGGCGCCGGGCACGTGTCACTGCAACGTTGATCCGTCGGTCCTCAGCAAGAAAACCCACCTCGCCTGCAGGAAAACCAAGAGGGAGTGAGCAAACAGAGGCTAGAGAGTCTTCTTGGGGCTGGTGTGGTGCAGGGCTGGTTCCTGCTCTCACGACAACCAGTTGGGAGCCACAGTGGGGATCCTCAACCATCCCAGGTCCAAGGCATGTGGGCAGGAGAAATGCTCCCCAGGTGCTGCTAGGTGGCCTAGGGCATGAGATCAGGCTGAGAAAGGCTCACCTGGAGGCAGAACTGCAGGTACAGTGCAGGAGGCACTCTATGCAATGCCCCCTGCCTGCCCCCAAGCCATGCACACAGGGCTGATTGTAACAGCAGCTCGGCAAGGTCGGCTGCTGCTCTCAGGCTATTTTCTCAAAGACAAGCAGTAAGAGCTAGCAAATGCCAAGATGACTCAGTGAGGCTCAGCTATTGAGAGGAGTAGTGGGGGTAGCTTGAGAGTTTCCAGCCCCCGAGGATAAAGAGAAGGCCAGTGGGGAAAGAATTGCTTTCTCCTTTGCTGCAGTGACCAGTCTGGCTGTTTGCACCCAGTCTCTGATGCAGCAAAAGGGTTTCCTGCTGGGTCTGTAACGGCTGCAGAGGGACGGGCATCCCCTGAGCTGATCCATGTGGTTACAACAAACTCTCCTGGGTGTCAGGCTGCTACCAGCATCTCTCGTGGCCCACAGAGAACAGAGCTCTGCCTGGACAGCACATGGAGCCTGCTTGTCATGCATGGGAAGAGGGCTGGAGTCATTGCTGAGGACATGGGCTCCCACTGAGCCACCAGCAAGGTGAGGTGAGTCACTGTGAATAAGGACTATTCTTAGCCCTACACTCCACCTCCATCCTCCCCCCAGCGCTGCTTTTCCTGCTCCAGGCTTTCTTTAAAAAAAGCAGAAAACACCTCCCCCTTCAATGTGTCCTTTCCCCCTTTTTCTTTCTAGACATCAGCACTCCTGGCACATACACAGTGTCTCATCCTCAGCAGCATTAGTGCAGGAAGGGACGTCTAGTTGAGGATGTGAAAAGGGGCAGAGGTGCTTCTCAGCACAATCCCACATGTGCCCTCTGCATGAGCTGCTGCCTCAAAACCCTTCAGCAGCTTTTTTCCAGCTATTAACTCCCACTGCAGTCACTGATAGCAAAGAACTCGATTTTCTGCTCTAGATTTTGCTTCCAAAAGGAGCATTTTCTGTGCATGACTTGTGATACCAGCTCCTACTTTCTTCACTCTTCAAGCCCCATCCAATTTCTGCCTTTTTCTCAGCGCTCCATTAACCACAGTGCCAACCTGACATGTACCATACACAGGATTCCAGTTCAATAATTTTTGAGGTTGCAGGACTGTACCTAGCATGGGAACCTTCCTCTGCAATCCTGACAGCAGATGTCGATTTAAAAATAATGAGAAGAAATAAAGCTGAAAAGAATCTTGCCACTAAACTCATTCAGAGTGAAGTGCTAGAGACAGTCAGAATTATACTTGGCAATGTATTGAGTGACCCATTCCTTCCCCATTCCCATTCTTCCCCTTCTCTAGCAGCAAGTTCTCACCTTTCCTGTTGGATCTCACGAATGACAAGATCACTGCCTCTTTCTCTCTGCCTTGGAAACCATCAACTGATTTAATCTCTAGCTCAGGGTACCTGTGGCAAAGGTGCTCTCTTAACATATCCACCTGATAAAACATGAGAGAGGTCACTTAGAGAGAGAAGTGCAAAGGGAAAAGCATTAAAATGGCATTATTTGGAACAGCCCCTTTCTCTCAAAGGTAAAAGGATGAGTGCTTGCGTCTCCCAAGTGCTGACTCCTGATGCTGGGAGTGGAAAATACCTCTCAGAAAACACCACCTCCCTCAAACGCCTCAACTTTGAGAAGGTGGCCACAATGACTGATCATATAATTTGCCTCTGCTGCCTTCTGCATTCCTCTCTCTGAGAGTACTTTGGTATCGCTCCTGGAAGTGTCTGAATCCACTCTCGTATGTGTGAAGAAAGAGAGGAGGTGCCAGGAGGGCGCCAACTCACCTGGAGGTTGTAGGGGGCTACAACAGCGATGTCTTGCGCCTTCACACCAGCATCTACCAAAGCCTGGATGTGCAAACCAGCCAGCTGCACTTCTCCTAGGGCACAAAGCATAAGGGGCAGTGAGCCAGGAGCACATCCAAGCTGATGGCGACAGCAGACTGGGTGTGCTATAGATTGGAGAAGCTTGCCCACTTCCCCTCATAGCAAAGAAAGGCTCAGGCAAGTCCTGCCCATGGCCAGCATTGCAATTCCCAACTTGGCTCACTTAGATAGAAGGTGATGTGCTATGCATTCCTGCTCCCTGATTCTTATCTTTCCAAGTCACCAGCTCCCTACATCTAAGCTTAAGAAGAGAATAACCTCTCTGAACAACCCTTGGCTTTCTCCTGCCTTAATCCAAGAGATCAACACTTAACCCAGGGAACAGATTATTTTCCTTTTGAAGTGAAACTTTAGACCTCACTGCAAATCTAATTTTCCTCTCTGTGCTGTGATGAAAAAGCCTCCAGCTTCTAAGTCACTGCATTTCCAACACCCCCGTGATCACATAAAAACCTTCATGTTCCTTCCAGAGCTGTCTGCTCAGGATGGTGGTTGCTTCAGGGAGATCGAACAAGGACAGTCTAAAGAGGAATGCAAACTATTCCACATGTTTATCTGCAAGACTGATTCTACCATCTATTTTGCAGCAAAACACATGTATAGCATTCCAGAATCTGCAGTCTGCTGCTCCAGAAGGCTAACTCCCACATTTTGGAAGACTTGCATTTATCTCCACTTAGGATCCCTGACTTATCTCAGACTTCTGTCTGGAGACAAGAGCCTTTATCTGTCTCAGAGGGGTGTGGAAAAATGAGATCCTTTCTGCTGACAGTTTTCTAAGCCATAACAGTGTTGGGGTATGTGGATTGTCAAGTGAAGCATCAGATTTTAGACAGCCCATATGCAACACAACCTGGCAAAGGCCCTGTGTGAGCCTACCTAGCTAGACTAAAAGTAGGAGTGTGAGCAGTATCCCTGAAGAGCAGATCACATCCATTCACCCTGCTGCAAAAGCAAGGACACAAAGGAAGTAGTGTCTTCTTGTTCCTATTAAGTTCTCTTGCATTATTGGAACAGTTATGGCACGTGACTTTGCATTAAATGCCCATAATGAAATCTATTATTTAAAGTCAGAAAAACAGCACAAAGCTTGGTGCCTTGAGAGGATTGAGAAAAGCCTTGTGGGACTTTATGAAACTGGAAAATGAATGGGAGACAGTTCTGAGCCACATCTACAGCCTGGGTGGAACATCTCAGGACAGTGACTCAGCAGTGCAGTAGCCGAGCCCTTGGGAGGCTGAGGACTTCAGTCAATTCCTCCTAACAAAATATTCCCATTACTAGTACCTGGATTCCCTCTAGACTGTTCATCTTCCACTTCCAGCTCCAACAGGCCACAGCCAGCAGTGTCTATGAGCAGTAAAGGAATCGTGGTCTCTTCTGTGCAGGTGACTCCTGGCAGGTCCCTGCAAAAGATGTTGGGAAAGGGCCACGTTAACAGCACTAAAGATATGCCAAAAGGTGATTGGATGTCTTATTGCTTTCTCCTTCCAAGAATACACAGCTGGATATTGCTTGCCAAGGGCAAGGTATGGACCAACAGAAGTGCGCTCTGCAGGCGGTGAGAGTCTGAGAGCTGAGATTCCCCACCTTTCCACCCCTCCAGGCTTTGGTCTCTTTGCAATGGCAGTGATGCTACTGAGGAGCCTGGTGGGGTCTCAGTGGTGGGCTCCCTGGAGATAAAAGCCACAGCCACAAACAGAGGAAGTCCCAAAAGGCCTGAGGAGGCCTGGCAATACCAGAAAGCCACAGCTGAAAAGGCATTATTCCTCTGCGTAATGGAACTGCTCTTTAGATTATTCCAAAAACGCAAAGACCGGTGAGGTGGGTCAGCCAACAGCACTGTGAGCCTTCTTGTCAGCTGTGCTGCACAGCCCAGTTGTTGTAGGCGGTGTAGGGGGATGGTGTGGGGGTGTCAGTGACTTGCTTAAATAATCTCAAAGAGGAAAAATATGCAGGCCTAGGAAGCTGTTGCAGCTAATTTCTGTTTTTACACTGCTGAGAGTGAGGGAAAAGAGCATTACCAGAGATTTGACAGCAGTGCTGTAGGGCAAGAGAAGAAAGCGTGGCACAAGGAACCACAGAGGAGTTGAGTTTTTGTATCCCCTCTACATCTTAAACTACTGTATTCCAAAAGAATCAAACTAATTAGCCTCTTTTTTTTTTTTTTTTTTTTTAAATACCCATGGAAGCTGCTCGCTGAATTCACAGCCTGGAAAGAGGAGGTGTGATGGAGGGCAGCAGGACAAAGGCAAAGATGACAGAACCCCAACAATAACATGTCACTGTACATCACATGCTGATCAAGGAGAGCTGGGGCTTCAGGGGGTTTGCAAATAATCAAGGAAGCCATCACAAAGAAGGACTGCTTCCAGATTACAGGCAGGGAAGTGAGAGCAAAAGCTCCAGTTCAAGGCAAGCCCCCGCCTGTAGCCCTAGTACTGCATGATATTCTGCATTCCTATGCCACCGACTGGCCCTCCTATGAAGCTCTCTGGAGCCTTGATGTCCCTTAGCGGAAAGATGCAATTCTCACCTGCTAAAAACCAGCCTAAGAAGCAGGGATGGATTTGTGCTCCTGAAGAGATTCCTGACCCTTTATGACAAAGCAGGTTGACCACGCAGGTAGACGACTGTTGCAGGCTCAATGTGCTGCCCTGGGACACCTAGGGACCTGTGCTTCATCCAGGAGGAGGTGATCCCAGCTGGGGGAGTTGCACATCATAACTGAGGAGCATTTTGCTTGGGTACCTTTCAAGTATGACACTATGGGGAGGGGTTCCCTCACCTTCCCTATCAGTGAGGGGTGCCTGCCCCCTGAAAAGTGCTAACAGAAGGGACACCCAATGCTTCACTTAAATAAAAACTGACAATAGGAGCTGCTGATGATCTTCAAACCAGTTTCTCATGGACTGAGTCACAAGTTTTGAATGTTGGAAAATACTGCTTGCAGCCTCCTGGACTAAATTCTGGAGATGCGTGGGATTTCTGAAGTGTTTCATCACCTGTTTCAGAAGGAAGGGAGGTTTGGGAAGAAGAACTATCAGAGATGAAAAGCTTACTTATTTCTTGCTCAGGTACGGAATTAAGCAAATCATTTGGTCTAAGCCAGAAAAGGACCTGAGGTGGTTACAAATATAACAGAGGAATTTGTACTCACAACCTAAAGATAAAATCATAGTTCAGCACCAAGACACTGCATTATCTGGTATTCTACAGAGGCCCAGAAATTTTACATGGTTTAGTGCCTGAAGTGAGGATTGCTGTATTCATGTGATGTGTCAGCAGACTTCATTTCAGGTTTAGACATCAATTTCTGCAGGAAAAGGCATGGAGCGGGGGACAAAGCTGCACTATGGAGTGGAAAATAAGACATTCACTCTTTTATCCATTATAAAAGCAAAGCAGAATAGCATCCTACATCATCAGAATAACAGCCAACGAACTTCAACTTTTCAACTAACTCCTAATTTAATGGTTTCAAACCTTTTTGACTGGGGTTTCACTTTAGCTACTATTCTTGTGTAGTTAAATGGGAAAATAAGCACAACAAAGAACAAGAACAACTGAGAAGAGTGTTTTTTACACTGGAATTAGATTTGCATAGCTAAAGCACTGCTGAATGAGTCCTGTCCATCTCACCTGAGCTCTTCTGGTATAGATGAACAAGCAGAAAGAAGCCTTTCCTTGAAAACCCACTGCATGCACCTGTATAAATATATTTACACACAAAGATATACAAACCAAGACAGGAGTCAGCATTCACTGATTCATCAGCTTCACTAATGAGTGAAGCCCTGAACAGAGCATGCTGACACAAGCAGAATCCCCACGCTGGCTGCAGAGGATGAAGGTGAGGCTGTTGGAAAGGTCTTAAACACAAAGCTTGGTTTTGTTTTGTTTATACATTTGGCCAGAGTTCCTATCTCATAGTGTTGTTTGTGCTGTTTACAAGTAAGATCACCAGGAAATGAGCACGAGATGGCCTCTCCAGCTCTCTCTGTCCACTTCCCCGGTGAAATGGAGAGATTCTAGGAGAATTTCAATTTTTCTACTTCCTACATATTTGCATTTAAAAAAGCATTGCTAAAAATACAAAAGCACCATGCAGACAGGCACTGTGATATTTTGTGCTTCTCTGAGGCCAACAGAGAGAATTAATGTTTTCCCATCCACCTCCCAGAACTATGCCGACTACAATTTTAAAAAGCACCAATTATTGACAGTCACAGCTTGTGTTAGCAAACAATTGCCTGTCCCAGGATGCAAGTGAAAAGAAATATGAGTCACTTCCTCTAAATTACCAAAGAATGGGTAAACTGCTGCAGACAGAATGGATCTGATGCTTTCAGTCTTGCTGCAGGCGCTGGCTTGACAATAAAATCAACCAAGCCAGAATTGGAATCTTGCTTTCTAGTCTCCTCTGTTGCCACCTTTGGGATCAAAGATGGGGGACACAGTGGTCCATATAATAATCATTAGGATGTGTGAAAACGCACTAAATCTGGTGTCTGGCCCTGCTCTCAATGAAAGCTTGAGATGGAGAAGAACTGCTTGGGGTAGGCACACTGCACGTCAGATCTTCGTATGTTCTCACCAGGTGCAAAAGGATTTCATTTACTGATGTATCATACCAATGGAGCAAATGGAAGAGAACTCTGCATGGCTTCTTGTTACAAAGGATGAGGACAACTACCACCTAGGTAATGATCCCTTGATGAAATAAAGGACAAACAGAAATGCTATGGCAGGAAGGGATGTAAAACTCCACCACGGTGACAAAGCCAACATGCACTGGGATGAAGAAGACACCTCTGCTCAGATGCATCACCGAGGAGGAAGGCACTTACTTGAGCAGATGCTGGGCTACGGATGGGTGAGCAGTGAGCCGGCCACCATACATCTCTGAGGAAGCCCACTGCATGATGGCTTCATGCATCCGGTACTGCACTGTCAGCATCTTCACAACCTTCTCCCCGTACCTCTCGATGACACGCTCCATCAAGCTGAGTGAAAGGCCCTTGGCAGCAGCCCTGTGTGGAAAAAGCAAGTTGGAACTAGAGCCTAGATGTCTGCATGAATTTGGACTATAGGATCAATACGCATCTTCTTGCTACAGCCATGACAGTGCTGTAGCTGGAACTGGATGTGGTGCTAATCAATGCTAATGGTGTTAGTGCTGTCAGAGCATCTTGGATATACATCCCAGAGCTTTCTGAGCATGGCAGTGGCCACGCTGTGATGGTGCTACCTCCCTGCTCTTCCCACTGTGTTTGACTTGGGTACCAGAGGGTTCAGGAGAGGGAGCAGGACAAGGCTGCAGCATCCCCAGCATAGTGTCACAGTAGGGTGAACATGCTCAGGAGTAGACCCATGATCAGATCAGCTTGCATGTATCAGGATGGAGAGATGCCCCCATGGGGAAATGCCTACTCGTACTGCCAACATAACATAAGAGAGACAAACAGCAGCAGCCAGCCCCACCTGGAGTGGTTGCTCCTCCCATGCTGCTCTATGCACTTCAAATAAGGAGTGAGGATGCCCAAGTTCTCAATCTGGGGGGAACAGCTCCAGAATGTGATACTCTTAACCCTTAAGCTCAGTTTGCCAGCATCCTCAGTCACACTTCTCATACCAGCTCTATGTATGGCATCAGTGTAATGCTGCACTCGCACTGCTTCCAGCATCAGAATCACCTAATGCATTATTACTAGAGCCTGACCCTACAAGCATCTTAAAACATTTGGTGTCAACACAGCCAGATCTCGATGATGTTTTACTGAGACACTCAACGTGCAAGTGTTCTCATTAATCCTTGGCTGCTCACCCTAGACTAATGCACTTCAGAGTTTATTGCTTTATTGCCCATTAAGAAAACCAACCCTGTCATGTATGGCAGAGGTCCTGTGCTTCTAGTGGTGACACAAATTAATAAAGCTCCTAATGAAATAAAACTTTCAGGAGTCTAATTGCTTTCTGTTTGCCATACAGAAAGGGTTTGTTGGAAGCGTTACTGTCTGAGGAAGGAGGACAAAAGTTGTTGCGTTTTGAGCATGTCTGAGCAGAGAGTTTTCTCACCCTGTGTGCACAGAGAACTTGTGGTTGGTGGCAAGGGGTTCTGCTTGCTACAGTGAACAGGCATCGTGGTGACAAAGTGATGGTAGAGAACAGCTTGGGAGAAGCACTTGTGTTGAGGCTAAGGGGCACAGCATGCATCAATTACTGCTGCAAGGAACCACAACATTAATACATAGCACTACGGTGAGCTGGACTGCCCAGCCCTGTCCTGTTAACAGCAGGGTACTTGGTAAACAGAACAAGGGACTGCAAATTCATTAAAGCTGCAGAAGGAAAAACTGAGGGGAGATCTTTCCGCAAAGTCAAGACTCATTAGCTCTCCTCCTTGCTAAACTGCAGAATATAGCACAGCAAAAAACGGATTGGAAGCAGTGATCCTGCAGCTGCAGGACTCTGGAGACAGCGCTGTTTTCCAAAGGCTGTTTGAACGTAATGAGCACTGAACAACAAAGACAACCACGGAAGCGGGGAGAAGGGCTGGCGAGGTGCAGTAAAGCTATTACAGGATGTGACTCTGTTGCAGGACAGGAACCCAGCTGTGCCATGTATGCTGCTGCTGAACGTGACCCTCTGCTGAGCTCGTTCACTAAGCCCTTGCAGCTGTGGTGCTCCTGGGTTGTATTACAGAGATCCTTGTTGCTCCCAGCTTAGAGTACAAGAGAAAACCAACACTGACAATGCTGGTGAAACAGCACTTGACAGAGGTATGCTGGGTTTTCAGGAGGGGAAGGGGACTAGGTGGGGCAATGCTCCTTTAGGTGCTGTTTGCTGCAAGTGTGATCTCTGCTGCCAAGAGAAAAGCACTTGTAGTTCCTTCCATGTGCCATCTCGGTGCTCATGAAAAAGCTTATCACACACTGAGCCACCTATAGGCAATGTGGTTTTCTGGGCCAAGAAAGCACCATGAGGTCTGAATTGCCCCAGCTACCCATGCCCTCTGCCCAGGAGCCCACTTAAGCTCAGCCCTTTGCTTCCTACCTGTGCTACATCTTATCTCTGTCTCCTAGATGGACCCTGTAAGTTACTTCAATCCTATCTTTAGTTCTGTCTCCTGGGTATATACTGGGTCTGGTCTCTAGTTTACGTCCTGATGAAGACTGAACTTGGTTTATCCCTCGCTGGGGCTGTAAATGAGCCTCATTCCCAGCTCCCGGTCTGCCTGCCGTGCTCAGGCTGTGGATAATGCTGCTGCCAGACCCCAGCTGTGTAAGTCACATCAGGCAACTGAAGCAGAACGCAAAGGATAGCAAAATAAGCTGCTGGCAAAGGCTCAGAGGGATGCAGCCTTCCCAAACAAAATTAACTTGTTAACTTCCCTTTGCTTTTGTCCTTTACTCCCTTGCTCACTTGCAAGTCTACAGCTGACTTTTCAGCAGAACTACAGGAAGTACTTGGTGTTTTTTAACAATAAATATTCTGAAGTGTTTCTGCTAGAGATAGACAATAAAGCATGGAGGAAGCATTAAGTCTCCCTGCAAGCCTTGGAAATAGTACTCTTCTATATACTAACCATGCTGTTTCCACCACAGGGTTCTATGTGAGGTTATATGTTGAATTATAACGAGGATATTAATTGCTCCCAAATATTTCACCTGTTAAAACATTTCCTATTATTCACACCTCAATTAATTTATACATGATTGATCCCTATACCAACTACATCATACACGACAGGTTTCAAGTGCTGGTTGTTTTAGAGATACCGCAGTGGGACGGAAAGGTTAGACAGACAAAACCACACTCCTGATGCTCAGAACGTATCTGCTGGAAAATCTTTAAAGTAAAGTTGTGAATGCTAAGATGACCTAAACAAGCCCACAGCAGCCAGTATTTTCAGTTAGCCTGGTTCTGCCTTGCTTTAATTGCAAGAAGAGGCTGCACTTCGCTTGAACTACCTTCCTGTGGATAGCAGATCCCAATGAAGGAGGATGAGGCCCTGTTCCTGCCCAATGCTCTTCACACGTAAGGCTTCCTCCTCCAGCTCCTGATGCACATTAATGGTGATAGCTGTATCCAGGTGGAACACTGTAGTTCAAGGCTTCTCTACTTTGTGCCCTGAGTTCTTCTATCCTAGTAGTCTTAAGAGGTTTCACAAACAGAAGTAAAGTAGTAGTAAGCGAAGCTGTGCAGACCTCCCCCCTTTATGGATATTTTTTCATCTTTGCAACTATGAGGGAGGAGGGTAGCTTCTTGTTTCCAACTAAGGAGGCTTCTACAGAAAAGCACGGATTGACATTTGCTCTTTAGTGACATTTGCTCTTGCAGGAGCAGCATGTGGATTTGGGATGGTGGAAACAGGCTAGCTGCCTGCAAATAAGACAGCAAAAGGCTCCTGTGCTTATCTAAGAAACCAGCAGAGAGCAACAGATCTGATAGGTATCTGAACAAGTAAGTCAAAGCCTCAACATGGAGAAATGCAGAGAACAAAATACAGCTTCTCTAGACAGGGCCCAGCTCCCAGAGCTGTGCGGCAGCCCCTTTGCTTGTGCTCACAGTACGGCACTAATAAAGTACCAAAGCATCTCTGTTTAACAGAGGCTTCCCACTTGCACAGGACTGACTTTGCATACTGTAGTACCAGACAATCCTGCTGTCAGCCCATATTCAACTCAGCCAACTTCAGACCCCTTATCGAGGCCCCGAAAATAGGAGCCCACACACTTCAGGTCTGCTGTCATCAATGGAGGAGAAGAGGAAGGTAGGCGGAAGGATTTCAGTCCTCGGCATGAATCATCCCTGGAAATAGCTTATCTTTTTCCATTAACCAAAGAAGGAGCTGGCAGGTGACTGCATTCCTTAATTAATCTCTGGCAGTACCTCACATGAAGGTAGAATGGACACACCTTTGCACTGCATCTCACAGCCTACAGGGAACACAGCTGGGAAAAGCACAGAGGGATGCTTTATTTGTGTCATGGAGGGGACTGTGCTGCAAAGAGGAAAGCTGTGGCATGCACCTTGATCAATAAAGCAAATGCTTTTAATCCAGCAGCAATTAAACACAAGGCCAGAGTTCAGATGTATGAAGGAAAGACCTAATATTTCTAAAGGCGTTTATCTGCAAAATAATCGGATTTCTCAAAATAAATCATTCTAATTAATCAAGATTTGTTAGCTTTTGCATTTCATTAGGAGGACTATTGTGGCAGATTCTGTCAGTTGCCCCAGCTGGACCTCGCTGCACATCCTCCCCATCACAAATCAGCTGGGGACTTTCAGTAGACAACAACAGAGCTTGAAAGAAAAGCCGTTTTCTTTGAGCATTATATAGTTTTGCTTTCCATCAGCTTGACATATGCTATGCAGGTTTCTTCCACAGGGCAGATACTCTGGCACCAGACTACTGAAACCCTCTGCAGATTCAAGCACTTTGCCCAAGAGTTATCAGTTCTGCAGAGAACAGGTAACATTAAGATCACCTGTGACCTCAATCATAGAATCAAAGAATTACTCAGGTTGGAAAAAACCTTGAAGATCATCAAGTTCAACCACAACCTAACAGAATCACAGAATCACAGAATCACCCGGGTTGGAAGGGACCCCAAGGATCATGTAGTTCCAACCCCCCTGCCTAGCAGGGCCACCAAACATACACATTCAGATCAGGTTGCCCAGGACCCCGTCCAACCTGGCCTTAAACACGTCCAAGGACGGGGCATCCACAACCTCCCTGGGCAGCCCGTTCCAGGGACTAACCACTCTCCTTGTAAAGAACTTCCCCCTAACATCCAACCTAACCATGCTACCCTAACTCTTAACAGCCCTCCGCTAAATCATGTCCCCACATCCAAACGGTTTTTAAACACATCCAGGGATGATGACTCAACCACCTTCCTGGGGAGCCTATTCCAGTGCTTAACAACCCTTTCTGTAAAGAACTATTCCCCGATATCCAACCTAAACTCACCCAGGTGCAAGTTAAGGCCATTTCCCCTCATCCCGTCACCGGTGAGAAGAGACCAACCCCGCTCTCACTGTGAGCACCTTTCAGATATTGGAAGAGTCTGCCCTCAGCCTCCTCTTCCCCAGACTGAACAGCCCTAGTTCCTTCAGTCTCTCCTCACAGGGCATACTCTCCAAGCCCTTCCTAAGTCTTGTTGCCGATGGCAGCTTTCCACTGTAAAGTCGAATTAACAGAAAATTGATGGAGAGACCAGGAGGACATCCAGGAGATCTGCAGCAGATGGGTCCTACCAAACAAGAGTCCTTAGTTGTCAGCTCCATGATGCAGCATCAGTAAAGGCTCCTGGCAACGACCAGCACAACAGAGGGCAAAAGAAAGCAGCTGGCGGGCGGTGTAATGTTTTCTGTGCTCATCTGAAAAAAAAATCTGCTTCATTTCAAAGAGCAGCCAAAACTGACATCAGCTTGAGTATTGAAGCCACTCACCCATAGTAATAGGATTGGTGTTTCTACTGCATTTTGCCCTTACTCTGACAGTCTTGGGAAAGTAAGTCCCTGCCTTGGGAGCACAGTGAGTGTTCGGTGTTTTCATCCACTACAAGCTTTTGACCTTGTAAATAAAGCATGGCTGTGGCAATTGCTCTGGGCCCACAATATGAACAAGTGAATGTATCACTTAGAAAACCAAAGTAAAACAAAGCCCTTGAATCTGAAGGACAAGAAGGCAAATTTATTTTTGTTGGCATGCAGAAACTTACTCCAGAAAGTACCTGGCATGTTATTCAAGGAGCCTTGTTGACTGAGCATTTGATTCCAAATTAAATCAGACTCCAACCTAAAGTAAGTAAGCATGGATCTACAGGAGCTAAGCTTGCTCTAGCCTCCACCTAGTCCCTGACTGTCTCTTTTCAGCCCAAAGTCAGTAACACCTCAGCCACCCAACTCCCCAGTACTGGTCAACCATCTGAAGGTAAGAATTTTTTATTTTCAACTTACAAATGGGGAAAACCTAGGCACAGAGACACAGCCTGCAGACTTGCAGTAAATGAGCAGCAAGACAAGAAGGGCAGGGGTTCCAGACAGGCATTTCTGTGCAGTTCACCAACCCAGACAGTGAAGGAGTGTGCTTATCACTTGCCAACATCTGCAAAACAAAATCTTTCATGCATCAGACAATAGCAAGAATCAGACCTTGTCTTCATGATGATGCAGCACCTTGAGATTATTTGTAGTACCTCTCAGGTACCTGCTGGGAGCTGCTGCCTCCCTTGAATGTTTCATTTCCCTGGCTCAAAATTCAAGTGAGGTTATAGATATGTATCTGGCTAATTGTTTTTTTGGAAGCAGGAGAAAGTTCATAAAGTCAGCCCTATTTCTCAGCCCTATTTCTCTGCTTGTGCACAATGCCAGTTCAGTCATTCCAGACCAAGAGCTAAATAAACACGTATACAATGACATTTTAAACCACTGGAAAGCTCCCAAGCACTATATGGAGCATCCCCTCAAAGCACAGGCAATTTACACTAGCCACAACTAATTGTTTGTACACAAACTAATTGTTCTTAATGTTATACATATTACAAAGTTTTCTAATTACTACTGTGTATCTGATAATGTGGTGCAGCATCTCAGTGGTCCAACTCCCACATTAATATGTTAAATGAACAATTGCAGAACCACAGAGGCAGAATTTAATAAAGAGGAGACTTGGATTAATATGAGCCGAGCCTGATTTCCTTTCATAAAGCTTGCGGTCAGCAAGCAGGAGGTAAACCAAGGCCACCGTTCTTGCCAGGTGGGAGAAAACCTCAATGAGAAAAACAAAATATTTTTCTTAAAAACCAATATTTTAGAAGTCTGTATGTAAATACTGGTCAGTGAGACCAGGAATTTCTTCTCTGTTTTATTTGTCTTCAGTTTGCTTCCCATTTTACTAACTCCAATGGCTGCTATGCACTGTTTTAAACTGTCTTTTTCAACAACTTTTCCAGCCACTCTGAAAATTTCAGTGTAAAACACAGAAAACCAAGTGCTGGTAAAAAAACAGAATGAAGAAAATGTCTCTGCTGATGACACATCTCTCAGGAGTAACATCTGATAAAATACACACAATTTTGCGTAATCCAGTATTAGAGCATAACACAAGCACACTTTCTCACTAAAGGAAAAAACAAATGAGCAACTCAAGCTCAACACACTGAATTCTCTGGAGCTGAGGACATTTCAGATGACTGATGTAAGGATGCAGACAAGCATGCTGAAAGCAACCATCAATCCCCCAGCTACCAGCAAGGACAGCATGCCCTCATCTCACACTGTTCATCTCACCTGTCTCCTGTATAAAGCCCACAGTGGGAAGGCCTCTACATCATCACAATGCTTTTGAGCACTTTTCTGTGACACTGAAAATGTTGCCAGGGTCACAGATCTTCCTAAAACATGGTTTGGCATGACAGGACAAGGGGGAACTGTTTTAAACTAAAGGAGAGGAGATTTAGATTAGACGTCAGGGGGAAGTTCTTTACTGAGGGAGTAGTGAGGTGCTGGAACAGGCTGCCCAAAGAGGTTGTGGATGCCCCAACCCTGAATGTGCTTAAGGCCAGGTTGAATGGGGCCCTGAGCAATCTGATCCATTACTTGATCCAGTGATTGGCAGCTTGTGGTGGGGAGGTTGGACTCTGATGATCCTTGAGGTCTCTTCCAACCCGAGCTATTCTATCATTCTACCTGAGCTTTCTGCCTTGCTGCACTTATGCACTCATACTCTCTGTCTGCCCCATTTTTTGTGCAGAGGATCCTCTTCACTGTGGACACACAAGACCTAATTACGTGTGGAATGTGGGCGACCAGCAATCTCAGAGAAGGCAGGGAATCTAGCTGCTGGATCATGTCCTCGATGCATTTTAAAGTACCTATCCAAAATGGGTATGGGTAAGTTTCAAAGGCTGACATCTCCCTGGGACTGCGTAAGCTAGTTTTCCCACTATGAACACCTGGAACTGGTACAAAGCTGCCTTCAGTTTCTGGGGTTTGCTTTAGCACCTCTATCAAGGCAACCCATCCAAGCTCATTCCTACAAAATTGGAGCTGATGCGCAGAGTTTGGCAGGCCACATGTCTGCTCCTACATGCATGAGAACCTCCTAGGCAAGGAGCTCACAGCAGCTCCTGAGCAGGGCCGAAGGCTGTCAGATTTCTCTTCTATCTGCAAACTGAAAACCCTTACAGGTCCTTGAGCAGTTGCTCAGCAGGCAGTTATCAGCACAAGAGGTAAACAGCCATACTGACTACACGTGCTTTCCCATGACGTGAGTAGGTCAGCAGTGGGTAACATGACTGTCACATGCTGGTGCAATAAGAAAGCCTGCTCAGATGGAGGCACATTAAACTTTAAGCAGTGGCTATCAGTAAAACAGCTCTCATGTAATCCCGGCTGTGTGACTAAACCCAGTCCATGGAGGACAGTGCTAAATAATCATGTTAATGAAATGTCTTGAAACTTGAGGCGTGAACCTGTGACCACAGACTGTTCCTTACTTGTGGGAGATGATGGTAGGGGGAAGCTGCTTGTGGTCCCCAGCCAGGATGCACTTCGGAGCTTTCAGCAGAGGTATCCAGCAGCTGGCTTCCAGGGCTTGGGCACACTCATCTATCACCACCAGATCAAAGTAATTCTCAGGCAGCAGCTTCAGTGGGCCATCAGAAGAAGCACCTAATTGAAGGAGAAAGCGCACAGCTTAGCAGGAACGCACATGAGCAAGCAACACATTTTTAAAACAATTCATAACGCTTTAATTGTGGCTAAGGGAGACAGATAGAATAATGTTTCTCTGCAGATATGTAAAAATTCAGCTCTGTAGTCCATGACAAATAAATATACATTACATGTATAGGTCAGAATTGTTTTTTGCTGATAACAGTTGGTAATCCTTATGGGTCCCTTCCAACTCGGGATATCCTGATTCTTTTATTGTTTGCCCTTTTCTACCCTGGCATCTGGGGCCAAAAGCTTCCGAACATCTCTGAAACAAGTGAAACACAGACAATTAATAGAACAATATGCTCAAATACTTCACCAGAACAGAAACAGAGCAAAAACACTACTGAACACCCACTTTCCTTCTGCCCTCAAATGCAAACAAAACTTATCAGGAACAAAAACTGCAAGGATGACAGACTTGAGATTGGGTGATCTACTGAGGGATGCCCGAGGGGAAATGAGCAGTGGAGACCCACGCTCCCCAGCCATGCTGAACTCTCATGCTCCACTGTCCCTCCTTAAGGGAGGGAGAAAGACTACCATCTGACATCTGAGACAAAAGCTGTTTATTTTTTACAACAATAGTCTATTTGTAACACCGACCAAACAACTCTTACACAGATCCTGCTGTAATCCTGACATGAAATGATATTGATCCGTGCACTGATCAGAGGCTGTGAATTTCACAGGCATCAACAAGGCATTCACAAAAAATAAAGAAACAAAAAAGGGGCTGCAAAAGAAAATGATGCAGAAGCCAGGTGCCAGACATAGAGATTTTAGTCACAGCACTCACAGAGATGTCTTTTTCCAAAGCTCTCACGCTACTGCACTGTAGTTCTGAAACCAGCACTGATTAGGAATGATTTTGCTTTGACACTGCAAACCCTGCTGCCTCTACAGCTTTATGTCAGTTCAGATGCCAGAGTTTGTCAACTGAGATGCTGCTTTCCTTACAAATAATTTCCAGCCTATATGAGTCCACTGTGGCTCATGTAACAAGAGGCAAACAGTTTGCACTTGACTTTTTTTTTTCTTGCCATGCTACAAGTGGAAGGAAAAGAAAGAACCAGAAAGATTCTCTCTGCCTAAGCAAGCCTGTCCTACTGTGGCATACAGCTCTGCAGACAGTTTTCTTCCCCTCTAGCACTGCAGCTCGGCTTATCGAACTTCCATTAACTAAAGGTCGCTACTGTCCCTCTCTGTTGCCATGATTAAATTCTCCCTCTGCTGAACCTAGCAACAGAGCAATGTGGTGTGCATCAATAATTCCCATCAAACTAGACAGTTTTTGACAAACAGAGAAAAAACACAAAGTCCAACTCCTTTGTTTTTCTACCACCTTTTGTTGAAACAGAATTACACAGACCTCCAGACTTGCTAGCAAGCCCCAGGAGAAAAGCACATCTGATCACTGCAATGGCTAGCACAAAATACCAGTTTTATTAAAAAACAAACAAACAAACAAACAAACAAACAAACAAAAACCAAAAACTCCCTATATTTATTTCAGGCAAAACTGCCCAGGGATACGGTAAAGTCACTGTCCCTGGAGGTAATAAAGAAACATTCAGACACTGAACTAAGGGATGTGGGTTACTGGGGAAATACTGGTGGCAGGTGGATGGTTGGACTGGATCATGGAGGTCTTTTCCAACCTTGGTGATTCTATGATTCTAAGTGAGAGAGAATACCCAGAAAATAATTCACTAGAATGATTTTTTTTTAACCTTCATGTTAGCAAACTGTGAATGCCCCATGAGGTTCTTTTTTATGACCTCAAATTACTGATGTTTCTTTTCAGTGAATAATCTCTGAGCAACCAAATCTGAGGATTAAAAGTGGGCTCCGGAGTATTGTACATCTGATCCAGAAAAGCACTTCAGGATGTGTTAAATTTAAGCACTTTTGTTTCCCTTCAATTGCAAGGGTATTTATTACTTGCCTATGTGTAGTTGTGCCTACATGTGCTGCCTGACCAATACCTGGAACAGTTCCCAAAATCCCATGTGCTTTATTCCACTTGGGTGATTTACACAACTAACAAAACACACACAGGCTGAGATCAGGCTATGGAAACATGTTGTTGTATTCAATCAGCCATGGAAATTATCCAAGCAGGAAAGCTTGTGACTTATTAAATCAAGTAGCTTGTGACTTACAAAATAAGTAGCAGACTATACACTTCCAAAAGCACTTGTTTATGCACTGGAAGCTCAGCTCCAACTCAGAACTAAGATGGGCCAGCCTAGTTCCCAGCAAAGGCTCTTCAAAGACCTATATTCTAAATTCATGAGGTCTTCTTCACCTTCATTTCAGAGTGGAACAGAAGAAACACATGCTAGGACGTAAGCAGGGAGGATCTCGCTGCACTCCTGCACACAGGATTTTGACAGCATGCAGCAAACTTGACTGACTCACAGGAGCAAGAACTCTAAGGCTCCCTTCTGGCAGGATGCAGCACTGCATAGTTGACATGAGACTTGACAACGGGAGGTAAAATATTGCCAAGAAAAAGAGGATTGTGCACCTGTATTTGTAGCAAGGACTATACTGGCATGGGTAAGGGCTGCAGTCATGGCAGTTTCTTCTCGTTCCTTCAGCTCCTTTCTCAGTGCCTTAATCTTGCTGAGAAAATGGCCTCGCTCCCCTTTGTCTTGAGCCTTTTGGGATTTTGCCTGTAAAAAAAAAAATCAAGATAGAGCAAAGAGGGATATGTTCAGCTTATCTGATAACCAAAGTAGACAGATTCAGCATGGCTCCTCTATGCCCACCATGACCCACTGGCTTACCAAAAGCAGCTCCACAAAGCCCCTGGTTTCTCTTCCCTCTCCCTACCAGCAAGCCCCTTCTTGCAATCAGCACTGCTTGAAATGCAGTTAAGTATGACTATAGCAATACAACCCCAGGCTCAAAGCATGAAGCAGCAGAACAAGAATACCACTAACACACCCTCCAGGAGCATCCGGAGTAGCATCATCACTCTTGGTCTAGACAGTGATGTCTCAGACATAGATAGCCCATACTTCAACTCTTCTGGCTGCACATTTTGAATTAGAAACGTAAACGACTGTTAAAGAGTAACTCCTTGTCTTTAAACCCTCTGTTCCAGCCCTGCTCTGCTCTGTGCTTTTTCAGTGTCCAGCAGGGATAGAAGGTCAGACGTTTTGGTCAATACAACAAAGTTCACACAGGAGCAGAAGTACTTTAGCACCAAGAGGAGAGTAAAATATAACAGTGAGGGTTTTGTGCCCTTGTTGGGTGAGGAACATCACAAACACACTCTGTCTTGGTCTGCTCCTAGCTCAGGGGAAGCAAAGACTCTTGGGCTCCAAGTGACCTTGAAGCAGGAGGGGCCCCAACATGACTGACCCCCAGACTACCACAGCAGCAGCTCTGCATTTTTGAAGAGGCATCTCTGAGTTGCTGTAAATGATTCACAGCAACACGCAGACAGGCTCATGGGGATTTTTTTTTAGCAACACAGATTAAATATATCTAAACCATCAAATCATCACCATGGATTGCTAGCACTACCCCAGTTACAAATCAGCAGCTATGAAACAAGGGACAAGCTATTGGTCACTGCAAGTCACCGTGAGAAAGCTGCCCAAACACTCAAGTGGGAATTTGGACTATTTTCTTCGAGGGAAGGCTGATGACATGAGTAACCTAACAAGGGTACACACACAGGCTCTCACACGCAGCTGAACCAATGAGACCTGATGGTTCTAGAACATCTTCTGTATGAACGGATTCTCTGGTCCCCAACACGGCTCAGCTCATATCACAGCATTCCCTCTAGCAAAGACATTTCTTTGTGCCTCTTGTCTACTCAGCCATCCTGCTTTGGTTATGCTTCTATGTATTTAATATCTGTGAGGTCTTGACATGTAAAGGGGAGTCAAGAGGGTGGACAGATTTATAAGTTACAGGGGAGAGATCATACAAGCATCTTTCCCTTAGCTTGGCTCAAAAGAAGAGGGTGGGTGCCAATCCAGATATTCATTGAGCTGAAGGAACAAAATAGATCAGTGTCAGCTTCCTCTCTGCTTGGAACACAGGAAGATTATAGAGCAAAATTGCTGGTGCCAGTACTGCCAAGTTTTGCATCTGTTCTGCAAAAAACATCTAGTTAGAAAATTAGCAATAGCAACTGGCTTGTGTCATTAAGATCCAAACATCTGGCTGAATCCAGCCCACTGCAGAACTTTCAGTCAACCCCAAGGACAACACTTGGCTCACTGAGCCCACTCACTCCTTGTTAGGGCATCACAGGTGCCAGCAGGCTCCAATCTGCATTATTTGGGCCCCCACCCTTCATGATTTGGTCTAGGAGCTGCATCTAAGGTCACACCTTGCTTCCAAAGCTGAGCTATAGGGTTTTGCATACTTGGCTTGATTTAGGCTGGCTTTCTTCTGGAGTTGGTTGTAGGTCTAACTAACTGGTGGCCTGAACTGCCAGATGATCTTGCTTAATGCCACTAAAAATATCTGCCTTTTTTGCTCAAGTAACATGGGATTACACCCTTGTTGGTACACACAGTATTCAGAAGTTGATGTCCTGGAGTACTTCCAGCCTACACTGAAAGAAAAAAATGATGGACAGAAAACATGTATAAAGAGCATGGATTTTCAGGTATGCTACTAGTCTCCCTAAGGCTGAATGTAAGGAAGAAGAAGAAAAGGAGAGTCAAAATGGGGAGTGAGCAAAGGAAGAAAAGATTAAATGAGCAACTAGGGGAAACTGAAAGGACACTAAGACACTAAAGACACTAAGGATTAGGGAGACGATCCAGGGCCTCAGAGGTGAATTGTCTGTCCCCTAGAGAGGGAAAGGGAAGTCAGTAGGTCAGGTGCCTCTTTTCTGTGGAAAAACCTGGTTGTGGTAGGGCAAAGCACCATCATACAGGCTGGACTGCAGTAGTACGTTGTTAGCTCTTGCTTTTTTGCCTGTTATTTTAGAGTTCATCAAGTGAATCAACAATTATGAAGTTTTTAAAAAAAGAAATAAATCCTGCTTATAGCTGTGACTACAACAGGGTCTCCATCCCAGGAGATAAGTGTATTCTCATCACAAACTTGCCTCCCAGCTATGAGTACGACCTCATCCAGCTATTGCATGCCCTCTCTTACCCTTACATGAAATGTGCAAGAACAATTTGTCAAGTGACTTCTCTGAGTGCTCAAACAATAAATATGCTTGAAGACAGCAAGAGAAATGCTGGATGATGCACAGACACATTTGGGAAAATTGAAGTCGCTGCCACAGCAGTGGCTGCAGATTAATGTTCATGGAGCTGAAAGCCATGTTCAACCTCCATCACTTAAAAAAAAATAATACATGCATGGTGCACTACTGAAGGGCAGAACAATATGCTTGGGCAAGTATGGCACAGCACATGTAGGGGTATGAAGATGCTTTTCTGTGTGTCCCACTGAGACAAAAAACCTTGCCTAAGTTGGAAGCATCTGAAGAATGGCTTTTGGACAATGCTACAACCAGCAAAATTCTAATTAGCATCAAAGCCTATTATCCCAAATAGAAAAGCTACTCCGTAAATTAAGTTATAAAAAAATAAATTAGGTTGAGAAAGAAGAAATTAAGGATGCATTTTTATAGTGTACTCTACTTACTACTTGAGGTGGCTGAGAGTGGGAGGGAGTGTCAGGACAGCTAGATATCTCATCAGGAAGTGAATTAATGATGCAGACGCTTCCCTTCCTCTTCTGGAGAAGAGAACCGTGTGAACAATTCCAGGCAGATAATCTGGAGAGCAGGACACTGCAGCATCTCCCCATGGTGCAACAGTAATGATTATGATTTTGCCACTTCAATGAGGAATTCTGCTAGGAGGAGCTTTGCCCTCTTCTGGCTCTACAGCAGAAAAAGATGAGTGCTGCTGGACAGTGAACAAGCAGGCTCAGGCACACTCCAGAAGAGAGGCTGTCTCTGTGAGATGCTTCTTCAGGCTGGAAGTGTCCCCTGATTCTGATGGCTTTGCTTGTGCCTTAATGCCTTTTCTCCAAGGCCAAGTTCTCTTCTAAGGGTAATCAAGAAGTGGCAGAGTGACTCCTCACTTACAAAGTAGCTTGCCTGGCTAACAGATGGAGTACTCTTAATATAGAGAGATGGCATTCAGGTTACCCATGTGGGGTGTGTTGTGGGGACACTTACAAAGGCCTGGTCAATGTCCTTCCTGACATCTGCCACTATCTGGGCACTGTCACTGCAAGCCAAGACTGCATCCAAGGAATGCTGCTGGATGGGCTCCAGCAGGCGAGCAGGGTGCCCGAGCCGCAGGATGCGGGCTTTGTAGCCAGCCAGTTTTTCCACCAGGTTATCCACTGCAACATTGGAAGGGGCACAGCACAGGACCTGTGAGGGGGGAAAAAAAACACCAAAGTGCTTGTTACTGCCGTAAGTGAAGCACTGGAGCAACAATGCCTGAGCAACAGGAAGGCACTCAGCGGAGAGGAGGAGATGAGAGCACGCAACTAAGCAGGAAAAAAATCACTGGCATCTCCACAGCCTCCAGACACCAAAGGCAATTCACAAATTTTCATCTTGGCTTGAAGCACCAGTGCAGGGTCTCTTATAATTAGAAGCTTCAAAGCTCAGGTTTGCTCTTTGCACCTCATTTCAGCTGGTAGGAAAAACTTCCCAGCCAGCATAACACAGCTGCTACTGGATTTCTTCTAGCTGCCATGAACCCCAATGAGTTTGCAAAATAAATCAGAATGGTTGCTATCACTGCACTCCTGCTGCTGATTACTCACTTTCAGGCCTTGCTGTACAGCTTGCAAGATGATCTCTGCTATTGTTGTGGTCTTCCCTGTGCCAGGTGGTCCGTGGATGATGGCAAGCTCCTTTTGTGCTAGGGAGAAGGAAACAGCCTCCCTCTGCGATGCATCCAGTGAGTCATTGTAGAGCTTTAAAGGCACTGGGGAAACAGCAGGAGATTCACTTGGACCTCAGCCCTAACTTACTGAGAAGCACAAATCCATAGCCCAAATGTTGGTGATAACTTTCCCGGGGAGCAAGCTACACTGTACATACCACCTTCCAGAAGAACACAAACTGGTAAAAGTAAGGATTGTTCTGCTTCTTGATCAAGCTGTCCATGCTGCATCAGTCTCTCCCCCACCCTGTTTCTCCTGCTCAGCGATGTTTCAAAAGGAGCAAGCATTTGGTTGTGAACACAGCTAGTCTCAACTAACTTTTGGCAGTGTTTTAGGAAGCATTTTCTTGCCATAATACAAATCCTTTAGGGCAGGGAGGGGATATTTTGAAGGTGAGCCAGTGTATTTAGCGAGCGTTCAGTGAAGAGAGAGAAGAAAGTGAAGAAAGTGGCTGATCTTGCAAATGAATTGTTTCTCTTCCAGTTAACAAACTCAATGAGTTGCTGTGAAAAAGCAGTGAAACAAACTACAGCATCTGTGAACAAACAAACAAACAAAAAAGCCCACAGCTGTCCTATACTGTTTAACAGTGACAGAAAAGGAAGGCAGGAAATAGATGCAAGCAAGCAGTATAAATATTGAAAACTTAAGTTAATTTGGATTTCATGATTAGAAAGGAAAAAAGGGAAATGAATATGCAAATTGCATTACAAGAGAATTGGTTTCACTGCAAAAGGTGGAATTCTCATGAGCCACTTTTTACCTCCAAGATTTATATAATTTAAATCCATTATTTATTCTCATCTGACTTAATCCTGCTGCTAATCTGCTTGTTCATTATGAAAGTTAATTACAGCAGAAATATGACTCATTACACTGAGGTTTACCGAAAATAATGTTCCCATGAAAGCTTATATAAGACAAATTTCTGGGCATCATTCCCTGCAGGGCATCATCTGCTTTATCTCTACCTCTGCATTAAGGGCTTGATCAAAAGCTTAAAAGTTTCCTCTGGCTTTAGATATGTTAACTTATGTGCAACTCCTACACAACCTTTGGCACTGAGTTTTGAATCAGCACATCCAAATGAGGTGTTTAGGTTAAACAAGCATAGCTATGCTAAGGATGCTGGTGGGGAAATAATGGTAATGTTTTCCGCTCTTGCTTTATGTTATTTTTGAGTTAGCCTGCCAGTGACTAAGAGAAGAACAGCATGCATCCAGGGGGCAAGGAAAAAAAGAATAGCTTAAAAACTACAAGGCATTTCCCATAGTGAGGAACAGCTGGGATGTAGGAGTCATTGATACTTCCTTGCTCAAAGAATGAGGTCAGAAAGAGGCTTCTCCACACACAAGCACACCCTCTTCCCTCTTAATCACAGCTGCTAGGAGCTGCTGGAAGGGCAGTTCCTCTCTTCCCAGCTGGGCACATTGTAAGCCGTGGAGGAGGAGGGTGGCAAAGCTTGTGGGATGCTGCGGCTCCTCTAAACTCTCTTCCATCCATCAGCAGGCTTTAAGCAGGCTTCTCTGAAGAAATGCAGTTAATCCACTCCAACAGGATGGCCCAAGTGCTCTTTACAAGCAACCAATTCAGGATTTGCACAGGTAGTCCCAAGAGACAGCTTTAAACCAGCTGCAGCCCTGTGGCACCAAGTCTGCATTGATGCCTCCTGCTTTGCCCAGGGCTGCCAATCTCCTCCCTACAGTCTGTAGAGCAGAAGTCTGACAATGAAATCTGCATTCTTGGTAAGGGTGAATCTAAATGGGGTTCAAGTAGTCCAGCTCCAGACTCAGAACTCTGTGTAGGAGCTTTATGCTTGGAGGGGGGAGGGGAAAACATCTTGGCCATCATGTTTGGTCTTCCAGCAACATCTCCTTAGACAGGTAACTTTCCATGCCCTCCTTGTTAAGTATTTAGCAGTCGAGTTGTCCAGACTGCTTAGTTTGCCCTGCAGATTTCAGGGCCCATTTCATGGCTCCCATGATGACAGGAAGCATCGTACAACAGAGGGACAAAAAACACTGAAGACTTTTGCAAGTGATATAGCATGAGCTCAATATATGTTTTCCTACAAATCTGTTTGCTTTCACAGATCTCTGCCTGCTGAGTTGGATTTTTCTGGGGGCACCTCTGCATGGGCCTAGGCTTGCAACAGGGAATTCTCTGTATGAGAGGGATATTGTGCATCCAGCCTGGCTGACTCTGTGGTGCGCAGCAAGCAGAGCAATGCTGGCCTCTGCTGGCTAGCAAAGCCTTTCTATACATTCACAACAACATATACATATATGGTATGAGACAGCAGCTGTAAGCAGGGAAGGCTTTCTTGCAGTCTGTCAGTGTGAAAGTCCTGAGCCACAGATGCAGGTTAAATGGAGGAGAGCTAAGCAAAGTGTTTCTTACACGCATCTGTATTTTGCTTTCTACCAAGCCTGATAAGCATAAACCCTACTCAGTTCAGAATTTGCCTTCTGAAAAGCCTGCTGGGATTTTTCTGAAGATAGCAAGGTAAGGCTTGGCTTAGCAAGGATTTTTCTGAAGATAGCAAGGTAAGGCTTAGAAATACTTTGTGATGGGGACCAGTCCCACTCGTATCTGCAGATCTCGTTTACTCATTGGTTATATATTCATACGCTCCTTTTGATACTCCAGGTTATTCTTCCTACAGCCTATCTAGTGTTTTTTTTTTCTTATGCCAAGAATACTTATTCTGAGTTGCATTTTTAAGTGTTTTGCAAGGGCTTGGGATCCACCACACAACGCCCATCTATGATCTATAGATGCCCATTATGTCCAATTCCAGCAACCTCCAGCAAGGAGGAGAGATGAACAGCACAGAATAAGGGCACAACTCAGCAAGTACAGCAAATAGCAAGCAGGATTTTCCAGATCCTGTAGGAAACAGCTGCGTGCAAATTAGCACCGCAGCAGTAACTCTGGAAGTCATCAGGAGCTGGGGGGAAAAAAGGGCACAGAATTTGTTTTTGTTATTATTACCCTCCTGTGCATACTGGTGTTCTTTTAGCAAGCCAACATCATGCATTGGTCAGATGCCAGCAGCTACTAACTACTTTAAAACCACATTTAAATTGGTTTTATCAGACTCCTTGTCCATCTAATCAGCCAGTGACTGGATTTTGGCACCCTCTTGGGATGACACAGACTCCAGTATAGATCCTCCAGGCACAGCATTTGGCAGCACATTCTCCCATGATGTGCCAGGCAGCTGTGATCCACTCATGAGGAAATCACAGCACAAGAGCATAAAAAAAAAACAAAAACCAAGCAGCTAGAAGCTGTTTACCAGATAGGCCAGAAAATTCTGCCAGGCTAGCATAACTGTATTTGGGTATCCCCTAAAGAGATATCCCCTGCATAAACAACCATTGGGGAAAACAAACAAACAAACAAACATTTAAGAAGTTAGACTTAAGATGCTGCTGCTCCCTGTATCACTTGCTGGAGCCTAATTTGCCCCTGGGAGAAAACTCCTCAATTATCTGAGCATGGAGATGAGTGCTTACACTTTCCATTGACCCCTTTAATTCTCAATTTCCTTGTCATTTGGTTTGCATGCTGTCACAGAAGATAGTCACAAAAGCTGCCTTTCCAGCCTAGATGAGGCAGGAACTCTACTCTGGGCCTTTCTCTTTTTCTACACAAATGTCAGTGTTAGCTTTTTCTTTGGATGGTCTGCCTTTTGCAAACAAGCCACACATTGCAAGTTCCTACACTATTTGCTGAAACACAGATCTATTTCCCCAGGTGTTCAATATACCTGAGAACCTGCATGTGCTGTCTCACAGGCATAAGACACAGAATTTATCCAGCCAGACTGACCTTCTCTTCAACTCGGTGGAGGATGATAATTGAAGGGACCTTACAGGATCTATTTATACTTGAAGTTATTATTATTTAATTACTGGCTAGTATAACATCTTTCTCATTAGTGAGAAAGGAGCTATAAAGTGAAAAGGTAAATGGAAGGCCTTTCCACCCTGCCAGAGCATTTTGCTCTTCTCAGGTGATGTGCTGCCTTCTCATATTGCATCTCCTTCCTAATGCAGCTGAATGTTTCTATAAATCCATATTCTTGGCACTGGGGAGATGTAAAATTCATCTTTGCACTTCAGTTGGCACATCTGAGCAATTCACTGTTTTTCTTCATTACAGAGGCAGCTCTGCCACCAGAGGAAAAAGGTGGAGTTAAAGCTGCTATGAAAGTTAGTACATTAATATTTAATTCTTCTATTTAATGTTAAAAACCTGAGTACACCAAAGTCCCAGTATAGTCAAAAGGCTAAAAGGTTTGACTCAGACTAAGCTCAGTGTCAGATCTAGGGAGGTATGACTCACATTAGCATTAATTCTTCAGCCCTGATGTATCCTATCAGAAACCTAGCCTGAAGGTAATGGAAGTAAGTATGTGAAAGAGGTGTAAAGTTGTGGACAACTAAATGCAGTAATCAAGGTAACTGGGAAAACTGTAACAGCCTGCACAGAGGGGATGAAACCAAACACAGCCCTGGCCAACAAGGAGACCAGTGATGGATGACATAACTCATGATACACTTCGGAGCAGTAAGCCCTGTGCCTCAGGAGAGACCTGTGCTCTCTGCCCAGCTTACATACAGAATGTCTGCCTGATCCTGTAAGGCAAATTGGTTTACCTTCTGCCTTCCTTCTCTGCTGTGTGCAGCCCTGGTGATGTTTCCCTTCTGTCAAGGGACAATATTCATTAACACTTGCCAAGCCCTCATATTCTGCTGATTTGCTTTCCCCATGGTTTCCTTGAAAGTTTAGCCATGTAACTGCATCTTTCATCTTTTAAAAACTCAAATCACGTAAGATCAGAGTAAAAGGGGATTCTACTCCTACGCAATTTTTTTGGGCAGCTGTTGGTAAAGCCAAGTTGTGAGGTTTTAAATATTTGACAATGAAACCAAAGCAGCCTGAGTATTTCCACCTTGACTGAATATAGTCACAAGGTTGTAAAAAACAAACGAACAAACAAACAAACAAACAAACAAAAAAAAAAACAAAAAAAAACAAGCATTCCCATGCTGTTTCAAATTGCAGTAGTTCCACATTCACTTAATTCCCATGTAGGCTGAGTTATTGGATTTTCTGTACAGAAGCAGTGCAGGCAGCTTCTGATCTCTGAAGTTTATGGATGGGATTGGAGCAGGAAGCAAATAAGAAGTGCCTCATAACATAAATTCAATTTCAGACTCTTGAATGTGTGCAAACAAATTCTCCCATCACAAATTCAGCTTTTGTTAATGCCAGAATTCAGCTTTACTTGGTACTCTTTGAGGAAAGTGAACATTAGCTAGCTGAAGAGTCTGGGTAATTCTGTATCTCTGGTAGACCAGGGATGACAAGTGTCTTTACAGCAGGTTAGCGTGTCCAGTGACCCATTAACAATGAGAAATAGGTATTTAATGTTGCTAGCTGCAACGCTATTTATTACTTGCATTCAACTTCAGGCTTCACTGACTGCTCTAGAGACTGAACATTTCTACCTCTTTCCTCTCAGTAATTTCCCATGATGTTTGCTTAAAACCTGTATGAGTAGCAACATCTGCTTTTACTGACAGATCTAAAAGAGCTCTCCTGTTTTACAAAGTCTTAGAAACATCCTTACTTGTTTCACTGGATGGGCTTGGATCCAAAGAAAAGAAGAGGACATCAATCAGATCAGAGGCTGGACCACCGTGGTACTGCTTTAGTGCATTTAGAGCTCTGCCACAGAAAAAAACAGGTTATAAGCATTGTGTGTATTCCTTCAAAAGATTCCCTGCACAAGTCAGAGGCCAGAGCAGTGTATCCTGGTGACAGAAGTTTTTGGGCACAACAGGCTGATTGTATCTAACTGCTGCATCCCTGACTCCTCACATCCCCTGAACCTGCCACACATTTCCCCTTTCTACTGTTGCTCTGGTTTGACACAGTTGGATCTTACGATTTTTCAGCACATCAGTTCAGCCAAGTGCCGAGATCAGCCTCAGAAGGGTTTTCCTAGAATAAGCCTGGCAATTTTCAATTGGCCTCTGTGCTCCTGAGTGGTGACCCTAGGTGAGCTGCCACCTCACAGCCCTTACTTTTTTATCCTGTTGTAGGTGATATCGTTGGCTAATTTCAGCAGGCGGTATGAGCTCTCATGATCCACACTCAGCATGCCATCTCGAGATTCCTCAAAGGCAATGGTCACTGCTCTGGAGGTGACACGTGTTACAATGCCAGTGGAGAGCAGATCGCCTTGGCCGACTGAATTGTAAAGGCCCACAATGTCACCTGCAAAGACAAATTAGAAGAGAGCATGAAGTGTGGCAAATGTTTTGAGAAGAAGCTCTCTTGAGGAGACTAGCACAGTCCTATGAAGACAGTAGGCCCATATGCACCAAACACAGGACTAACCCCATGTTTCCTGCCAAGGTGAGAAGCCCATAAAGGAGAATACAATAGGATAATAGAATGGCTTGTGTTGGGAGAGACTTTAAGGATCCAGCAGAGAGGGTTATCAATCATTGGATCAAGTATTCAATCAGGTTGCCAAGGGACCCATCCAACCTGGCCTTAAACAGTTCCAGAGATGGAGTATCCAAAACCTTTCTGGGCAACCTGCTCCAGCACCTCACCACTCTCAGTGAAAAACTTTCCCCTGACATCTAATCTAAATCTCCATTCCTTTAATTTAAAACCATTCCCCTTTATCCTATCAATATCTACTTTTGTAAAAAGTTGATTCCCTCATTTTTATAAACTTCCCTTAAATATTGGAAGGCCACAGTGAAGTCTTCCTGCAGCCACCTTTATTCCAGGCTGAACAAGCTTTGTTCCTGCAGCCTATCTGCATGAGAGAGGTGCTCCATACCTTTGATTACCTCCATGGCCCTCCTCTGGACCCTCTCCAACAGCTCCACATCTTTCCTGGGTTGGTGGCCCCAGATCTGGACGCAGTACTCCAGATGGGGCTTCACAAGAGCTGAGTGGAGGGGGACAATCACTTCCCTCTCCTTGCTTGCCATTCCTATTTTAATGTAGCCCAGGATATACTTGGCCTTCTGGCTGCAAGCACACACTGCTGGCTCATGTTAAGCTTTCCATCAATCAGTACCACAAACTCCTTCTCAGCAGGGCTATTCTCAAGGAATTTTTCCCCCAGTTTGTACACGTATTTGGGATTACCCTGACCCAGGTGCAAAACCTTGCACTTTACTTTGTTGAACCTCATCAGGTTCACAAGCGCCCACCTTTTGATAAAGGTGGAGGGACCTTGATAAACCTTTCGAGTTTATCCAGGTCCCTCTGGATGGTCCCTTCCTTCTGCTGTATAAACTGCACCACTCAGTTTGGTGTCATCAGAAAACATGCTGAGGGTGCACTCAATCCCATCATCTATATCACTGATAAATCCTTCTCTTTCCTGACAAAGCATGCAGCAAGAAGCAGTGAAAAGACAGTAACCAGCTACCTTCAGACCCCATACAGCTTGGGGTAGAGACCACCAGTGCTCTCCACTATGCTGCTCAGAAATGTAACATTTTTTCACACAAACCCTGGAAGGCCTGACTTCTCTAAGGTCTAAGACAAAACTTTTAACACTTATTTTATCTTTCAGTCATAGCCAAGGGGCCTGCATGACAACATGTGCCTCCCAGAGGACTATTTTATGCCAGTCAGTAGAAGTAAAAAAGAAAGAGATTCTCAAAGGGCTCACAATAGCCATTCTGCTCTTCATACATATATATGAGATAGGATCAGTCAGATTATGCAGTTCAGTGGTGAAATGGAGATTTTGAACAAGGTGTCTAGCAAGTGGACGATTTAAATGGGTCTCAGGCTTACTGAGGACTAAATTTCAGATTAGCAAACTAATGGAAGTTCTTAATTATTGTTCATCAGCTCCTGCATTAAAATGTTTGTCTCTTAGGAATAGTTTACTGCTATAGCAATGTTATTTCTCTGTGAAAAGCACTGACGGATGCTGCTTCTTAGACCTCAAGGCTGAGACCCAAGTCTGCAAGGAGTTCTTTTAATTTCACAGGTCAGCAGCTTGGAGACTTGGCTGGTAAAGACAACATCAACAAACTGAATGGCAACCCACTTTGAAACAGTACCACAGATCAGAAACAGACCAGTTTCCCACGATGTATCTGCTTAGCAAGCTAATTGATTCATCAAACAGAAGAAAGCAAATTATTAAATGAAACCAGCAAACCATCCGGTGTTGCCAGCCCTTCTCTTAAGGACCAGCTTTGGAGAATGCAAAGCAATACCCTTGTTGCCTAAGGAAAAGGGAAAAAGGGTCTCTGCAAGAAAAAGAAGTTATTTCCATTGTCACTTGGAACTATTTCACAGTCAAACCCAAGTTCTTCCAAGGGGTAAGCAGCTGGCTATAGCTGGCAGACTGGTTCCTCACCTACCTCAGATACCGGCAACCATTCAGCTCTGACATTCCCAGTTGTAATTTCAAGGAATTGATGGCAGAGGATAAGGGACAATTAGGAAGAGTGCTGGCTGATGTGTTGGTGAGCCTTTTTCTAGTGTCTTTATTTCCAGGTATTAATACACGTGGTGTATACTTCACATCTTCTTGATAAAAAATAACAGTACAAGGAAGGGAGGAAATCAGCAGCTCAGGAAGGAAAAGAAAGCCCATTTTCCATTTTGAAAATGAACTGCAAGGTAAGCTCCTTACCTACTCCAAGCATGAACACAGTGGCTCGTACAAAGCATGCTAAGAAATCTTTAATGGTGGGATACCATGGCTTTGTTTTTAAGGATTCTGAACCAGGAAAGCTTGCTTGTTACAACAGGCAGTATTTCCTGCTGCAACATCCATGCTAACAATAAGCTGAAAGAGAAAGACAACCTATTTCTCTACATTCACCCTCTAGCCACATTTTCTCACTTCCTCTTTTCCTCAATCACTCAGTCTTTACAAGCGTTGCATTAGAAATACTTTTGGCAGAGCATATCAGTCATCGTCTGCTTTGCACAAATGGGACTATCACTTACCAGGCCCAAAACTGTTATAGGGCAGCTCGGCGTCTGAATCATATTTTCTAGGCTGAAATGTCACAAGCAGGCGCCCGTAGAGGCCGGTTCTCTGGTTGGCAGCTTGAAGTTTTAGTAAGCAGACACCTCTGCGCTGCAGTTCCTTTAAGGAGATGTTTTCCTGCCATGCTCTGAAAGCACAAATAGATATGAAAACCATTTGTTAGATTGAAATAAACCAAACACTTCAGAAGACAAAACAGAAAAAGACAAACCAGGGAGGAGACAGAAAAGATGGATGATGGCAAAAGAGATGCTAGCTTGTTGAAGTATTGATTTACATATCTTTTTGTTGTGATGTAATTGGATTGGATTCTATATATTTCCATCTCCAATGTGACATATTTTGAGGAATGGGGAGAAGCCTACATAGTATGGAGATGTAAGTGCTTATTTACATGTACTTCTTCTGTCTGGGTGCATAAAGAAAACACTGCCCAGCTCATGAGCCAGCAGAGAGTGATCCAAGCTTTCTCCTATCGCACATAAGCTCTTAAATGGAAGGTTTGCTGTTTCTCACATGAAGATTTTGTGCAAATCCCCAACTAATATCCCCAGAGGCACTACAAAGAGAAGAGAGCCTTCTACATGGGACTGAGACACAAATTACCATTGGCAGCTCTACAGCCTTTTGGCTCAGCATTAGCCAGAGCACTTAGGTGGATTCTTTATTTTTTGATAGATTGACAGGGAGGAAAGAAGGAAAGAAAATCCACCTTGTTCAACTTTTACTTTTCCAATTTGTCTCACAGACTGGGGCTAGGGGAATTTTAAGCAGCAGGAGAGAGATATGTACAGACTATGGAGGTCAAGGGGCCCCAACTACCAACAGAGTGAGGTCAGAGCCCATAAGTGACTCAGTCTGATAGGGGCGAGTTGACCCTATAGAGTTGAGCCCCATAGCTGACAGCAGGTCTCATATGAGCGCTGCTATAGGGTTCATATAGAGCTTCGGTCCTATAAGAGTGTGCTGAAGGGTTTCTATAGGGCCACGGCGCTACCTTCTCTCGGCGAGCTCGGCCTCCCGCTCCTCCCTCAGCAGCTCGAGCTGCCGTTCAGCCGCCTCCGCCGCCATCTTGGCCCCAAGGGCATTTCCGCTTCCGGGTCGCAGGGGGGATGCTGTCATGGCGGCGCTGGCAGCAGTCAGGCGGCGAGCGGCGGGTGAGGGACGGCCGGGTGGAAACGGCCAACCTTCGTCTCCGGCTTCTTGCTGCTCGCAGGGCGGGCTGTGAGAAACGCGAGGGGAAACATGCGTGAAAAGGAAGGGTGGGATTCGGCTTTGTGACTTTGTGAGGGGGTGTGCTGTGAAGAGCTACGTGTGGCTCGCCTCCGTAAAGGTGGGGTGAGCAGGTGGGGTTGGGGTTAAGGGGCTTTCAGCGTGCCTTTAGGCTGGTGGGTGAGGAAGGCGGTGATCCTGTGAGGGAACTGTGCGTTTTAATTGAGCAAATTGCTTCAGCAAGGCTTGTTGCTGTTTCTGAGATGATTAGCCTCTCAGCATATGTTCCTGGGTCTCTCCTCTGAAAATACTGAATCTATATTCCAAAGTGCAACATGAGTTACACGGTTAGTGGGTATGGTGGGGTTGGGTTGATGGTTGTAATTGTTGATCATAGTGGTTTTTTCCAACCTGAGTGATTCTGTGATTCTGGGTTGTAGTAAGCCACTGTTCTTTCTGTGTTTGTGTTATTCTCACCTATTTAGCTCCATAACTCCCTATCCCTCCGGCCTAGAAGAAAATCAACATCTGGAATGGTGGAAATCCAGACACAAAAGCGGTGAAACCAAACCTGGTGTACCTTCTGCTCTTCCATTTGGTCTTCCCTTGGGGTTGTGGTATCTGCTTGGAGTCCCCAGGACTTCAAACCACACTCCTGTGGTGGGCTTTTAGTTGAAAACTTCCTAAGACTCAATAAATTTACCTAGAATCACCTGATAAATGAAGTGTAAGCGTTCTTGTCCCCATTTTGGGAGACATCCTTTTAGCAACAGTGCAGAGTTAAGAAAGCACACGACAGTTCAGACCACTTGCTCCCCTATGCCCCTTGGTTGTTTTGTTCTGTTGTTCTTTCAAGGAGGTAGGGTGCTATGAGTGTATCGCTGTGGGGTGCACTCTTCGTGTATCTGTTCTGTCTTGCTGGAAGTGGCACTTGAGCCAAGTGTACTTGTAGGATAAGACCTTTCTCTTGCTCTCATGCAGTGCTACACACAGCTGACAGTCCTTTGTCAGCATTGGTGAGGCCACATCTTGAGATTGTGTGCAGTTTTGTTCCAGTGAAGGGTCTGGAGCATAACTCTCATCGAGAGTGGTTGAGGGAACTGGGATTGTTTCCAGTGGAGAAGAGGAGGCTTGGGGGAGACCGTATGGCTCTTTACAACTTCCTGACAGGAGACTGCGGTGGGGAAGCAGCCAGCCTCTTCTCCCAGGTAACAGCAATAGGATGAGAAGTGATGGCCTCAAGTTGCACCAGGGGAGCTTCAGATTGGATATTAGTTTTAAAAAAAAAATCTCAAAAAGAGGAACAGGTTGCCCAGGGAAGTGGTGGAGTCATCATACCTGGAGGTGTTCAAGAGCCATAGAGGTACCACACCAAGGGATGTGGTTAGTGGGTTATCAACCTATCAATCTTGGAGGTCCTTTCCAACATTTATGATTCTATGGTCATGTGCCTTCTTCTGCATTCTTCATTGTGGTGGAACCTGAACAAAGTTTTATAGGCAGAAAACAGTATCAGGAAGTGGTGATGTTTCCTTCAGCATCACTGTACTATTGCCTCACTAAAAGATTAAGAGTCCAACTGTTGCTGCTTGGTTTTAATACTTTCTCCTTCTCTCCTTTTTTAGCTTTCTTGTTTTCATCTGTGGTTCGCCTCCAGAGCTCCCAGAGCACACCTCTACAGGAAGGGTAATGTCAAATGATACTCTGCTTTCATTTTTGCCCCCTTGCTTACCAGGGGGAGTGTGGGAGGGGGAATGGAGCCAGGAGCCTGTTTCTCTATAGAAGAGAGACTTACCAGATCCCTTCGTTTTTTACTGCTGAATAAGTTTTAGACACTCTGCCTCCCCTTTGTCACCTGTGCTAGGCCACTTGCATTGCCTTGTGAAGCTGAATAAAGAGATAATTAAACCTTCCACTGAGCTAAGGGCTGCAGTGTGGTTCAGTCCATAGCAAACAGCAAGAGAAGCCACTCAGCTGTTGCTTGTCTAGGTATAGGTGAGGTTTATTTCCTAGCAGGAGTTGCTGTTCTCTCATAAATACTGAATTTGAGCTTTTTATAAGATGTAATTAAGAGGCCAGTTGCTAGAGGACATCAATTCAGCAGACTTTTGGCTTTGTTAATTTCAGCACTTCTAGAAATGCCTGCTTGTGTCTTCATTTTGTTTCCTCTGTTGAGACCTAGTACAGAAATACTTGTTTCGAGCTGCAGGTTGTGCTACTTCTTGTTTTCCCCAGAAGGGGACACTGCAGAGATAAGGAAGTCCTATGAGCAGCATCTGGGGGAAACGACAAAATTCATCTGTGCTGCAGGAGGATTCAAGGGGGTAGTCTCTTCTGTGTGTGGGAACACAGTTTGGATCTCAGCCTCCACGGCACAGTGCACAACATTGTTATTAAACCCTACAACAAGCCCAGAAAGCCTTGGTGCTAGCAGTTACTTTGAGTTTCTGTTAATTTAAGCTCTTTAAGGGGCTTTTTTTTGCATTACTGAGTAAACCAGTCGAACACAGTGTTAATGTTGCCTTCAAAAGCTATCATCTAATGTTCTTTTCCTGAATGGTTTGTGCATCCTGAGTGAGTTATGGAAAATGTGGATCTCAGCCTCCAGGAAATTCTGACCTTTCCATTGTTTTATAGATGGTAATTAGTGAGCAGAACCTCTCTCTTCAAATTTCAGAAACCAGTATCTTTCTGATAATCAAATTGAGATCCAGGGTGAGTCTACCTCCCTTTTACTAAATCTCTGCTTAATAAGGAATTGTAATCTGCTGCCCTTCAGCCATGTGTCCTGCTCTGACAGAAGGCATTTGGCACCTCTCTGAATAATCTCTAAATGCAGCTGTGTGGGCCTTGTGCCTCCTTTCCCGACCTCCTGAAGGGCGTACCGCAGTTGTGATGAAAGCATTGCATGTGCAAAGTGCTGCTCTTGGTTAGAGTGGCACTCTTCTCTCCACTGTTTCTTAGGGAACAAGTCAGTAGTTTTCTGTAACTGTCTCTGATGCAGAGAAGTAAACAGTTGCCTCTGGTTCTCCTTGCTGCTTCTTGTTCAGATCTTGAAAAACAGCTAATTACAAGCAAGTGCTATTTGCATTTTTACTGTTTGAACTCATGCTGTGAGCTGTACGTAGCATTTCATTTTTGAATTAACACCCGGTGGCGTATTAGAGCAGAGTTAATTGTTGTTTAGCTCTGATTTTTTTTTAGTAGGGCTCTCATGATTTAGTGCTGTCTGCACTGCTGTCGATAAGAGCAGCATACGCATGTGGGTACCTGCAATATGACTGTACAGGGCTTGAGGTTGTAAAGAATCAGTTCAGTTTTCAGACAGAGCTTCCCTCCCATTGATATTCCTGAGAAAAGCAGAGAGACTTCACTGTAACAGGTAATGAAAAAATGTTTCTGGCTGATAGCTAAATACCCCTAGCTGCTTTTGGTCTTCTGTGTCAATGCCGTTCCCTGCTTGCATTCAAACCCCCAGTGTTTCACTAAAATGAAGGTGTTGCACCTTGTGATAACCATGTACCATTTTCAGTAAGTAACAGAGCAACATTTAGGTGGAGCAAGTTAGAGCAGTTTTCAAGTACAATAACTTGCTGAGGTAGTTTGAGTTGATCCCATGGTCTATTATAGATCCTAAAAGGGAAACGCTCAGAACTCTCCCAGGATGATCCCAGTAGGGACTGCAGGAACTGATGTCAAGTCTTAAAATGGAAAGGCTCTTGCCTCAGCAATGTTGTTACAAACTATTTTGAAAAGAAATGCTATTAAAGCAATTTTATGTCACAACAGTGAAAGCTACCCGTTCACGATGAATAAGGATTTAATTGGCCCCTTTTAGAAATAAGTTGAGGAATGATGCTTGTGCTTGGCTGGCTGAATGCGAGATGGTACATGCTTCTGCTCCTTTTTGTGAGCCACCTGAATGAAGACAGGCGTAGGTCTAAGAGATCTCTCGTTGTCCCTCCCCAGCATGGTATAGGTTGTAGACAGACATGGTAATGACACAGAGGAAGCTTTTGGGTTGAATACTTGTATTGTAATGTGCTGAATTGCACCTGGGGTGAGAGAAAGTTATTATTGCCATTCAGGTTTTGCAGCTGGAAGTGACAAAGGAAGAGCAGCCTCATAACTCTCCTATAAAGAACCCAGCTGTGGTCTTAGGACCCTCTCAAAACTATTTCACAGAGAAGAGCATTACAAGTAGAGTATAAAAGGATGTGTTAGTATTCATAGTGTTTGAGGCTGATTTAAGAATGCTCCTTAGACCTTCTTCACAGTCAAAGGCAAGTTGATGCCTCCTAGATGACACCCCACTATTGGATAATTGCAGGGCTTTGTGCTGGTACTGAAGCAGGGTGAGGAACATTATGTGTTCAGTCTCTCAGCTGTAGTGGTAACTTGGATCATAGAATTAAGTTGGAAAGGACCCTTAAAGGCTATCTGGTCCAACTCCCCTGCAGTGAACAGGGACACAAGACAGCTAGGTTGGGGTGTTCAGAGCTCCATCCAGCCTGACCTTGCGTGTCTTCAGGGACAGGGCGTCCACCACTCTAGGCAACCTGTTTCAGTGCTTCATTACCTTTAGTGTTAAAAAGCCTTCTTCCTTACATCGACACTAGATGAAAGTTTGAATCCATTTCTGCTTGTCCTGTCACAACAGACCCTGCTAAAGAGTCTGTTCCCTTCTTTCTTACAGCCCCTCTTTAGATACTCCAGGTCTCCCTGGAGCCTTCTATTCTCTAGGCTGAACAGCTATTTCAGCCTATCCTCACAGAGGAGGTGTTCCATCATATTAGTGGTCCTCCTCTACACACTCCAGCAGGTTCATGTCTCTCCTGCAGTGAGGACTTCACATCTGGATGCAGTACTCCAGGTGAGGTCTCACCAGCGCAGAGCAGAGGGGCAGGAACTCCCTTGCCCTGCTGGCCACTCTTCTTTTGATGTGGCCCAGGATACAGTTGGCTTTCTGGGCTGTGAGGGCACATTGCTGGCTCATGTCCAAGTGCCATACACCAGTACCCTCTCTTTTCTGCAGGGCTCTGTTACATCCTTATATCCTCCAGCTTGTATTGATACTGGGCCATCACCCAGGTGCAGTCCTTGCACTTGGTTTTGTTGAACCTCGGGATGTTTCCCTGAGCTCACTGCTCAGCCTGTCTAGGTCGTTCTGAATGGCATCTGGTGTGCTGGCTGCCCTCCAGAGCTCAGTGTCATCCACAAACTTGCTGAGGGTGCACTTGATCCCATTGTTGACGAAGGTGTTTAAAAAAAAAAAAAAAAAAAAATGCTGGTCCCAGAACTGACCAGAAGGGCACCACTCGTCACCAATCTCCATCTGGACATGGAGCCATTGATTGTCATTCTCTGGATAGTCTCACAACCAATTCCTCTTCCACTGAACAGTCCACCCATCAAATCCATATTTTTCTGATTCTGATAAAGAATGGCGTTCAGTGGGACTGTGTCAAAGGATATATCCGTGGAAAAGCTTAATAAGAGACCTTCATCTAAAACTTATATGCAAGCAGGGCTTTAGGTACGTCTGCTCCAACTGGTCCAGTCAGTAAAAACAAGGTGGTGGAAAGTAGGTGGTGATCACTGGGCTTGATCATCATTAGCACATCTAGCTGCAGATCATGAGGGCAAGCCACAACCCAGCTTAGCTGAATTTTATGTTAATTCTGTTGGTTTCTTTGTGATTTGTTGTTTTGATCTATTTCCAATAACATTCTGAAGTGGTAAGTGGGGGGAAAAAAAATCCATTTTCCCCATGTTGTGATAGGAAGGGTGTAAAACAAACCAACCACTGAGATGTTTATTCCATTTATTTAAAGCTTACAGCATTTCATGGTAGACCTAAATGACATTGGGTCCTGGGAGCAGTGAGTGTGTTAGGCAGAGCTTTTGCAGATTGAGCTCAGAAATGAAGCCAAATGTTTGTGTTTTTTGCATCTTTTGGAGAGATCTGTTTGTTACACATGGATCTTCTTTATCAACCTTATCATTCACAGGATTGTTGCCAAAACATCTCTGACTTCACCCCCATGGCCTGAAGTGAAATTGCCAAATCCAGTGGAAGAAGCAAAGCACCATGCAGGTAAAGGTCTCAAGTCTCCAAGTGAAGCTTCACACTCTAGTGTTGACACTGGTGACTTGATTGAGTTTATATCAGTGTCTTCAGTGATTCAGGCTTTTTGTTCTTTCCTTTTAGTGTCACCAGACTCATGCTCTGACTGCCTGTATTAGAGATTTGGGTAGATTATGAAGTCCTTTAGTTTGTGACAGCCTGACAGGTCATACTGCTCTCCAAGGGCTCTTATTTGATGGGATGTGTTGCTACCTGAAGCATAAAGTGTGGCTTTTCAACTGGAGGGAATAGCTGTCTTTTCTTCTAGTGGATACAACAAAATGCGGAAGCCAGCATAAGCAATTGGATAGTGGGCACATCAGAGAGCTGATATTTCTTAGTGAATAATACAGAATGCTGGAGCCATTATATGCAGTTGGACAGTGTGCACATGACAGAGATGTGGCATTAGGCAGCAAGCAGGTGGGAAGCAAAACAGCGTTAGAGAATGCATGCTTGTCCACACATTTTGTCAGGATCACTGAACACAGGCACTAGTCCTCCTGGTAGAAGCCCGTGGATCAGACAGGAGTTAACCTCACAAGTCAGCATATGAATGTAGCTGTTGAACAACCAGACACTGGTTCCCCCTGGCTGGTAGAGATATGGAAATACAGAGAAGGCAATATGTATGTAGCCTTATCTTGTCTGGGAGGGGTTGTTGTCATCCATGCCCTGCTATAGATGGTAGAAGAAAAGCCAGCACAGGTACAGAACGTTTCTCAGAACAGTAGCAAGCCCTAGCAGGTGAATTTCTCTTACAGCTCCTGTGGTGGTGGGCAATTAGCAGTCATCTGCTACATGAAAGAAAGGAGCTTTTTATTAACAGGCTGTCTTACTGTCTTGTTGCATGAGCTTCTAGGACATCAGTGAAAGGCACCTGAAAGGACATTCTGAAGGCTATAGTTTGGAGAGGCCTGAGAAGTGAAGGAGAGAGATCTACAAGGAAACAGTGGAAGGAGAGAAGCAAAGCTTTGCCATTGTTTTAACAGATAGTTTCCCATAGCATAGCAAAAATGTGGTAATAACTGTGCGAGTGATGTGCCTTGGAGAGAGCTGCTTCTTCCAGGTCTTCTCTCTGACTTTGTTTTTATCCTGCTTTTCATTTTCTCTGCATGTCTGGGATTGCTCAAGTGACAGATAAGTGTTCTGTCCCAGAGAATGATTTGACCCAGCAGTGAACCATAAACTGCTTTATTTGATTTGCTGATGCCCTGGGGTGAATAAGGTCCCATGTTCTTCTGACTGCTTCACATGGGATCGTTGGGGTTGTTGTGATTTCCGTGCCTTGTAACCTCCTACTGTTATGAGCTTGCATTGCTATCTCCTGGCTGTGCTTATCCAAAGCAAACAGCAACTAGAGCATTTGAATTCTGCCTGATATTCTCCCGCTGTCTGTGGAAACAGACGTGGATATTTTAGGAACCATCATTCCACATGATGCTGAGATTCAAGCTGTCCTAACAGTCAGATGGTAGTATCCATTGATGTTTCCTGTCATTAGAAATGTTTGGAAGAGCAAGCAATAACTTCAGAGTCCATGTATGTTAAAGAACACTTATCCTTTTCTGATATAAAAAGATGAAGAAGTTGTGTGGTAGAAAGTTGAAATTTGGTGAGGGAGTAAACCTTGTTAGAAGTTGTTTTGTTTTTTTTTTTTTTTGGCCAAGGTCAGTGTTTTGAAATGCTGGTTTTGAGATGTTGACCACAGTACTACTGAAATACATGCATCATCAGTTTAGATCTGAAATAAATTTGTTGTATCCTGTTGTGCATTGGGGTTTGTAACAAAGACAAAGGTATCATACTTCTCTGTGGACTTCTGGGAGTGGAGCACTCTGAATCAGAGAATACGCAGGGGACTTTTCTCCTGGGATGGCAATTCCAGCAACACAGAAGCACAGCCCTTAGTTTTAGTGAGAATTGTACTAACTACTGTCTTGTGAAACAATTTCTTTTCTAACCTCTACCTGTAATAGTTTGCTGGTTTGAAACTTGGACACTTTCACAGTGTTCCTGTAAGTGTTGGACTTAGTTTGGTTGTAAGTGCTTGTCTTTCCCAAATGGTTATTATAGTTTGTTTACATTCCAAGAAAAGAACAGGGATTCAGCCACTTGTGAGGACAATGAAGAAAGTCTATTTTTCCAGTTATAGCAAAGTTACTCTTTTTCTGATCAGCCTGAGATGGTGGAAAGCTGCTATTTGGCAGGGGAATAGCACTCATTAAAAAGGACCTTTTGATGTTCTTGTAAAACTTGATTTTTGGCTTCACTGCACAGGAAGTTGATCACAGAAATCTGAGTTATGTGCATGTGCTATGCAGGACCTTGTCCCTGGAATTTATACTGCTCCTGGCACCTTGCTCTAGTTGCATGTGTGTATAGGAAGAGCTTTTCTGGAAGTCTTTCCAGCTTTTGCTGCAGGTTCTTAGGCCAGGTTTTGTTAGCGTGCTGGAGTCCTTCTTCCTGTGTACTTTGCAGAACTGCTCTTGATGTTCCTGGTTGCTTTACCAAGTATTTAGTGTCCTGGCCTTTTCATGCATTACTTGGAAATTGAGGAGAGCTCCATTCCAGATGTGTAGACAAGCACTCTCTTCTCGAATGCTTTGTATTTGAGTACAGTGCGTTTCAGGATGCCTAAGAAAGAGGCTGAGAAATCAACTGCTTGGAATTAGTTGCATGATATATTTATAGGTGTCTGCTTGCATGCTTACTAGGAGTAGGTTCTTACAACAACCAGAAGGCAGAAAGGTTTGCAAAAGGGTGACTCATGCCTTGTAGGAAACAGCATTGCTCTTACCATAAATTATTAAGGTTGGAAAAGACCTTCAAGATCATCTATTCCAACTGCACACTGACTACCAATATTGACCCTTAAATCATGTCCCTAAGTACACATTTACACCCTTCTTGAACTTCTTTGAGATTCCCAAAAGGTAACAGTGTAGGTGGGAGAGCAGTGTGGCTGAGTTAATTCTGATCGACTCTTCACGCTTTGTTGGGTTTTCTACTCTGATTTCTTCTCTGCTCTTTGCCAACAGAAGTGGTGCAAAAGGTGAATGAGCTGATTGCAACAGGGCAGTACGGGAGGCTCTTTGCTGTGGTTCACTTTGCCAGCAAACAGTACAAAATAACCAGTGAAGACTTAATTATGATGGACAATGTGCTACAGGCTGAATGTGGAGACCGAATCCGGATGGAAAAGGTAACGTGCCTTGTCCACAGTGCCTGTGACCTGCAGGCTGTTTCTGCTGCGAACGTTTCCTGAGGCAAAATTCATAACCAGTTTTTCAAAAGTCTTGAAGAGCTCCTGTGGGATCTCCCAGCTTTATTTTCAGCTTTTTTTTCTTGTCTTAGTTTTATTGCAATCTGAGGTGTGTTGTTAGTGATAATGTTAATGTGGTTTCTGTTGAATGAGGTTGGAATGAGTTGTGACAGACTCTGTTAGAAGACAGATTTGTTGTACTAACTTCATACAAAAAAAGAAAATTACAATTGCTGTTTTTAGAGATGACAGTGAAAGAAAGACTGTTTACCTTGAGACTACTACACCCAAAACACTGACAGTACTCCCAGAGGAGCTGTCACTGCTCAGAGCTTTCCAAGATTGTTATCATGCTGAGTGTGTTGGGTGGAGGGAGAGGGATGCTGCATGTAGGGGAGAATTGCCAAGATGCAACTCAACATATTTATCCCTAGTCTCGGTTAACTAGCAGGAACTTGTAGAGGCTCATTAATTAAAATTTTAAATGAAAGACTCTGAAGTAGGATTTTGTTGGATTAAAATTGAGTTGTTAGAGCCAAGCAAGCAGTTAAGGAGAGAAGGGCAGTTCACTTTCAGGACAATTAGCTCTGAAAGTCCTGCTTAAAGGTGACTTCTTAGCTATGTTTTCATCTGTGTCCTGCGTCTTCACATACAGCGGAGAAGTGACTTGCACAGAGCAGCCAAGCAGGAGAACAGAGGTCTTTGAGAAAATGAAGGTTAAGAACTTGCCTAACCACCATAACCCAACACCACCATACTCCTGTAGGAATTTCACTGAAAAATATCTTTTTGAAGGAAAAACTAGAACACCTAACATCCATTTCTATGTTGCTTTTAAACTTCTACCATGCAGTTAGCATGGAAGGAGGCAATCTGTATGAAATGCTGTCTCTTCTCATGAGAACTTCTCTTATTATTTCTCCTGCTTCTTGGATGGGTGTGTGATTGAAATGCCCTGAAATGAAAGGGTTTGTCTTTGTGGTGGTGAACCAACCTCAGCTATTCATTTTTTACTGTCCATCTTGAGGCCTCAGGGAGGACAATGATTAAAGTGTTTCTGTAGAGGGTATGTTGCAATTGCTATAAAACCCAATGATTTTAGGAGCTGCCACTCATTCAGCACCCACACAAAACTGTATTCTTCCCTGTATTGCTTTTTGTATCTTTTACAGCTGTTGGTGAGCCAGAACAGGAAAGTTCAGTATGTTCTGATCGGTGTGAAAGATACTTCTAAAGTATGTTTTAAAATGAAGTTCTGGAAGTCTGTCTGTTTTATGAATCTGTTTCTTGCCTGTGAGCTGCCATTCTCCACTGGTACTCTCTAGTAATGATGCCAGGTTTGAAACATGTAAAGACCCATTTTTAAGCAGTTTGGCTCCTGTATGGTGGCTACAGAATTTGGAAAATATTGCTGGTATCACAGAATCGCAGAACGACCAGGGTTGGAAAGGACCTCAAGGATCATGAATCCCCAACCCCCCTGCCACATGCAGGGCCACCAACCTCCCCGTTCAGTGCTAGACCAGGCTGCCCAGGGCCCCATCCAATCTGGCCTTGAACACCTCCAGGGATGGGGCATCTACAACCTCTCTGGGCAGCTGTTCCAGCACCTCACCACTCTCTCTGCAAAGAACTTCCTGCTGACGTCCAACCTAAATCTTCCCTTCCTCAACTTAAAACCATTTCTCCTTGTCCTGCAGTTATCAACCCTTTCAAAGAGTTGATTCCCCTTCTGTTTGTAGGCTCCCTTTAGGTACTGATAGGCTGCAATGAGGTCACCCCACTGCCTTCTTTTCTCCAGGCCGAACAAGCTCAGCTCCCTCAGCCTGTCCTCATAGGGGAGGTGCTCCAGTCCCCTGATCATCTTTGTGGCTCTCCTCTGGACCCTCTCCAACAGCTCCCTGTCTTTCTTGTGCTGGGGGCTCCACACTTGGACGCAGTACTGCAGATGGGGCCTCACAAGAGCAGAGTAGAGGGGGACAATCACCTCCCTGTCCCTGCTGGCCACCCCTCTTCCGCTGGAGCCCAGGATACCATTTGCCTTCCAAGCCACAAGAGCACACTGTTGGCTCATGTTAAGTTTTTCATCCATCAGGACCCCCAGGTCCTTCTCTTCAGGGCTGCTCTCAAGGACTGCTTCTTCCAGTCTGTATGGACGCCTGGGATTCCTCTGGCCCACTTGCAAAACTGTGCACTTTGCTGTGTTAAACCTCATCAGGTTCACCCAGGCCCACCCTTCTAGCCTCTTGAGGTCCCACTGAATGGCATTCCTTCCTTCTACTGTGTTGACCGCACCATTCAGCTTGGTGTTGTCAGCAGGCTTGCTGAGGGTGCACTCGATTCCATCATCGATGCCACTGATAAAGATGTTACAGAGCACCGGTCCCAAGACAGACCTCTGGGGGATGCCGCTCATTACCAGCCTCCATCTGGACACAGAGCCATTGATGACCACCCTCTGTCTGTGGCCTTTCAACCAATTTCTTATCCGTGGAGTGGTCCACCCATCAAATCCACATCCCTCCAATTTGGAGATAAGGATGTGGTGGGGGACCATGTCAAGGGCGTTGCTCAAGTCCAGGTAAATGACATTGCTTGCCTTTCCCTTGTCCACCAATGTGGTCACTCCATCATAGAAGGCCACCAGATTGGTCAGGCATGACCTTCCCCTGGTGAAGCTGTGCTGGCTGTCTTAGATCACACGCTCATTCCTCATGTGATCAAGCATGTCATCTAGGATGATCTGTGCCATGATCCTCCCAGGCACAGAGGTGAGACTCATTGGCCTGTAGTTCCCCAGGTCCTCCTTGCTCCCCTTCTTGTAAATGGCAGTGACGTGATCCTTTCTCCAGTCATCCGGGACCTCACCTGACAGCCACGACTTTTCAAATATGTTGGAGAGCAGCTCGGCAACCACCTCAGCCAGCTCCTTCAGGACCCTGGGATGCACGCCATCCGGCCCCATGGACTTGTACACATTCAGTCTCATGAGGCAGTCTCGGACCTGCTCTGTCCTCACAGAAGGGAGGGATTTACCACCCCAGTCTCCACCTAGAGGTTTAGGGGTGCAGGGCTCAGGGACGTGAGAAGTACGGGAATCCTGGCTGCCAGTGGAGACCGAGGCAAAGAATTCATTCAGTACCTCAGCTTTCTCTTCATCCACTGAAGCCAGTTCTCCTTTTACATTTACCAAAGGAGGTACATTTGCTTTGGCCCGTCTCTTCTGGCCAATGTACCCGTAGAAAGTCTTCCTATTGTTTTTCATGTCCCATGTTAAGTTCAGTTCCACCTGTGCCTTGGCTTTCCTGATCCCACATCTGCAAGTCTGGATGGCATCCCTGTATTCTTCCCAGGTGACATAGCCTTGTTTCCAGAGCTTGTGTGTAGCTTTCTTCGTGCTCAGCATGCCCAGCAGGTCCTTACTGAGCCATGCCGGCTTCCTACCTCCTCTGCCTGCTTTCTTATTCAGAGGGACGGAGAGTTCTTGTACTCTCATGAAGGCATTCTTGAAGAACAGCCAGCTCTCCTCAACATCTTTGTTTTTAAAGACAGCATCCCAGGGGATCTCAGCCAACAGTCCATTGAACAGCTTGAAGTTTGCTCTTCCAAAGTTCAGGGTCCTGATGCCACTCTTTGCCACTCACATCCCTAGAGATCACAAACTTGACCAGGGTGTGGTCACTGCAGCCCAGGCTGCCTCCAGCCTTAACACCGTTAATGATTTCCTCTGCGTTGGTGAGCAGCAGGTCCAGCAATGCTTCACCTCTGGTCACTCTGTCCAACACCTGGACCAGAAAGTTATCATCAACACATTCCAGGAGCCTCCTCCTCTTGCAACTCGCCATGTGGTCTTTCCAAGAGATATCTGGATGGTTGAAGTCCCCCATCAGGACAAAAGCCCGTGAGCACAAAGCCTCCCTTATCTGAAGCAAGAAAGCCTCGTCAACAGTCTCCCCTTGATCAGGTGACCTGTAGCATACTCCTATCACCAGCTGGCCTTTGTTAGACCCATCCTTAATTCTAACGCTCAAGCTCTCAACCTGTTCCTGACGATTTCTCAGAGGGAGCTCCTCATAGCCTATCCACTCCTTGACATAGAGGGCAACTCCCTCACCCTTCTTACCTAGCCTATCTCTTCTAAGGAGCTGATAGCCCTCAACGGTGGTGTTCCAGTTATGGGAGACATCCCACCACGTTTCTGTGATATATAGTATGATGAACCGCTGATATGTCTGATTATTTTCCGTAGGTTTTGCTGGTTGGTGCTGATGATTTCACGCTTATTGGAAGACCACTCCTGGGGTAAGAGATCTCATTCAAGAATTATCCTGCAACCTGAAGAGAAACCTGAATTTATCAGTGCTATCTCTTTTCCCAGCCCTATGGATTCTGAAAAAAAATCAGAAATAAAACAAACTGGTCAGCTTTGGCTGGCTCTTAACTATTACCGTAGTGCCAGGATAGAGCACAGTACCTATTCCTAAGGTAACTGGAGGATATTAACCCCTATTGGCTTGGCTCTGTTTTCTGATGTATAAGTCTTGTACAAAATAGCAGTAAATCTTGCTCTTTACTCCCTAACCATAATTGCAGTGATAGCCATCCTAAAATAACCCAGAAATCCATGCTTGTCCCTTAGTGCCTTAATTAAGGTTGTTTTTTGTTTTGTTTTGTTTTGTTTTTTTTAAAAAAAAAACAACTGTTTCCTTTTACCCATGATTTAATCCAGCAGGTCTTAATCTTAAATGAAGAGTCCCAAGTTTTCCCTTCTTCCTAGTTACATGCCTCCAACAATCATGGCACCAGCTCTATCTTAGAGCTGTCAGACTTGCTATACAAATGGGCAGAACACCTGGTTGGTCAGCGTTTTCTTTACCAGAAGGAAGTGGTGTGTGGACTCAGTGTTGCTGGTTGAACTCTTAGCATTGGCTGGAAGCAAAGTCATCAGCTCTATGTAGCTTTCCCCAGAGGTTCTAGTGGTAAAGTGCTAGTCAAAATAATGTGGCTTGCAAGTGCTTTAAGAACCTGGAAGTCCTGGCTGTGGTCTGGCTGCAGACTGAACTGCATGTTAAGTGTTGGCTTGAACTGCAGCAATTTGGCAGAGGACAGCCAGATAAGGAGGAGCTTGTAGATCTTGATGCCTTGCAGATTCAAATCTGTTTGACTTCTGAGTGCTTTTTACATTACTAGGAGGATGTCTGTATTCCAGAGTTATAAATAATGTTTGCACACTTAATAACATGATTTCTGCCATGGGTTTCTAGTGTTTGATAGGATTATGAGGGCTGACAGCCTTTATAGCACTTCTGCAAAGAGATTTGGAATGGTAGATCTTCAGGAGCCTTTGAATTATTGCCAGATATTGTTTTACTTGTTGAAGATCTTTAGGAAGTGGAAATACCTTTACTAGAACTAGAAGCATAATCTTGCAGAATAATAGGATCATAGAATATGTAAAGAAGGGACCCATAAGGATCACTGAATCCAGCTGCTGGACACATTCTGCAAATGGGGATGTGTCATGCCAGACAGGTTGGTAGCGCTGTCCTTCACCTGGCTTTCCTAACTAGTGACACTGGAGTGCTGTACTTGGGATGTGCCCTAAGAGCTCTAGAACACAAAGAAAAGCACCTGTTTGATTACTGCATGTGCTCTAAGTCTGCAGAAGGCACCGTCAGTTGCTTGAAGCAGACCAAATTGCACACTGAACTCTAGTAATTTTGGTGGAGGAGGAGGCAGAGTGGAGGGCCAGTGAAGAGATGCCATCCTCTGAGATGTGGGGAACCTTTCCAGTTTTCCCAGCTCTCTGTACTCCACGTCACAGCAATTCTTTCTCATAGTTGTGTCTAAACCACAAACGTTTTGGAGGGGAGATAAGAGGTTAGATGCAAACTGAGGCATTTTTGTTTTTCTGTTGTTTTAAAAATAAACACACCAGTGAATACTTGCCTGTTCAGACTTGGAGGCAGGTAGGAACTTGTCCTGTTTTGGGCAGGTAGTCATGTTTTTATTTTCTGTAGCAGATACCCCCCAAGATGACACTTCTCTAAAGCCTTAAAAAACAAACAAAAACCAGCAGTGCAACAAAACATATCTGTGTGGCAGAGACTGTTTTGAGAACTGGCTGGCTTCTCTGGAATCTGTTGGGTTTTGTTTTTGTTTGAATGACTTGCTGTCTGTTCGATGGGCACAAAGGGTATCAAGTGGTATGCAGTTGTAGTTTGTTTAGCTGTATAATGTAAAAAATATTGTGTATTTTGAAAGCTGTGATTAGAAGCAAGTGTAGCTTTGCGTGAGTTTCATCTCATGATTTGATGCTCCTGAGACAAGAAGTTGTTTGTTTCTATACAGAGTACAGCTGATGAGAGGTTTTTGCCCTTTAAATTAACCTTATTTTTCTCCTGCCACCTGACCGTTTTTGCAATGGCTTTAGTAGCAATGAAGAATTGTCTGAAATTCCTCCTAGACAAGGAGGAAGCTGAATGCACTTATTCTGTGCAGGGAGAGAGTTTGGCTGAAGTTGTTACTCTGACAATTATGCTCCTTTGGGGCTATAGGTTGCCTGGATCACTTTCACTGCTCACTGACAAAAGCTTTCAATCCAGCTTAAATCCATGAGGTTTCAGCCTAATTTTTTCTTATTTCCAGATAAAATCTGATTGATAGGTATGCTTTTGCATCTTCACTTTGTTTTTCTTTCTGAGAGCAACAGTCCTGGCTGTCCCAAACTCTGGGAAATGTGTGACCCCCCCCCTTTCTTATTTTTATAGGCATTCCAGTCATACCTAAGACATTCAATAAATATTTCTTTTTCCTTGGGCTCTATTTTGCTGAGAACTTTTCTGCTTATATGCACTTTACCAGCAAGTTGGTTTCTACCCTCCTCCAGCTTTCCAACAAGCAGCTCCTAGGGATTTGTACAATAGAGAGGAGGACTCACTGGGACCTGCTGGCTTTGAGCTTTGACCTGCACCTCACCCATTTCTCAGTAACACCCTTAGTTTGCTTGAAAGCTTTTCAACATCTATAAGCAGTGCACGGGGGGATAACTATTTACAGATATGCCAGTGTTGGCTTGAATGCTACCCAAGGTTTAGGCCAGCGGATGCGTCTGGCGATGAGAGCTGTATCAGGGATGGCTTGGCTGTATTGCTGCAAACTCTGCCTACTCTAAGAGCAGCTCAGAGATTTCAGTGACTGAGTTGTTTTATCTGGCCTGGCTGCTTTCCAGTTTCCCCATGTGATCATCATTAGTGAGTTTCTGACATGCCTTTACTGTCCAAGCCTATGAGAAATCAGTGGGAGTTTAGATTTCCTTTTGCCTTCAGTGGACAGAAATTAAACCCGGAAAGCAAAGCTCCCTAATTGTAGTAGCAAAACATATCCAACTCCTGGAGTGCAGTTCAGTTTTTTTTGTTTGTTTCGTAGCATCATAGTTCTTGCTGTGTATTTCAGTAGTGTTGTTGATCCTATTGTTGGGCTGAATCTGGATAACATCTTTTAGCTGGGATGGCAGGGTCACCTGGCGGTCTTTTAAAATCAAGGTTATTTTATGTCTATTTTCTTCTGAGCTAGTCAGTAAATGTAGATGTATCAGTTTTTTCTTCTGAGTGTCTTTCTCTCCTCATTTAAGGATTCAGTCACTGATAGATATTATACCCCAGAGGGTAAACGTTAATATGGATGCCAAATGTCTCAGAACCTTTGGCCTCTCAGTGACCTTGCTGGAGCAGCTGGATAGATGGGCTTCTCTCCTCTGCCCCCCATAAGCACAAAGTCATTTGTCAAGAAAATGCTCTTTAAATGTCTTCTGGCAGAAAAGTCAGTGTGCTAATTGGTTTTTAATGGTACTCTGCAGTGATGCTGTATGAAGGTGTCTCTTCTGTCTTGATGGTGGCTGTTGATTAAAAGTGCACTTTCCAAAGCTCTTGTCTGAATGTGTTTATCTTCTCGGAGAGGAGCCAGTGAACAGACAGGTAGCTGGTCATCCAGCACATGCTTCGCATCGCTCTGTTTTCTAGGTTGGGTTTTTTTCAAGTGGCAGCCAGAATTCTCAGTGCTCTCATTTTCAAACTTCAGCAGGACTTCTGCTGGTGCTCTGCAGCTTTCCTGGGTGGGAAGGAGGTGTTTATTCATGTGTATTTATAGAGTAATACAGAGCAGTGGATTACTTTGTGGCTTTTAGTCATATATGAAGGAAATATGGCCATGTTCTTCTCTTCATTTCATCACTGGGGAAGGAGGATGTTTAGTCATGGAGAATTTCCTTCCATGTGCAGAAGTGAGTTTTAGAAACAATTTGAAACTTTGAGTGATGTCACCACCCAACCTGAACTCCCCTGTTTGCGAGGTAAGCTGTATGTGAAATCAGTGAGTGTGTGCCCTCTCTTCCAATTTGGGGTAAGCAAGTGGGACAGACCAAGAGGGGAAGGGAGAAGAGAGCTATGGGGGAGAAGTGACTTTTTCCAGTAGCTGATTACCTGTGCTTTCTGCTAGAAACAGCGGCCAAATCTCTTTCAGCTGAGTTTCTGTCGAACTTATTCAAGTAAGAAAGGTCAGGAGACTTTATTCCAGTTGTCTGGGGTGCTTTACAGAAGAAGGAAGGACTTCTGTGTTGACTAGCAGAGCACAGGAGGAGGGTCTGTGGTGGGTTTGATCTGTATCATAAGAAAGGTAGAAAGATCTTGTGAACATGGTGGAAGAATTTATCTGATCTGTAATCCTGCAAGTTCCTCCAGGCTTCTCTTATTATGCCTTCCTCAGCTGTTTCTGATTTCATCCTTCATGTGGCAGAGAAGTACTGCCCTTCAGACTAGCACTTCTTGTCTGTTCCACGGAGAGCATCTTGAGGCTTTTGGTTTTGCACCACAAAGCCAACTTACTGACAGATGTCCCTTCTTCTTCCCTGGTGACCTTGTAGTTCTCGTGGATCTGGGCTTTTTATAGCAGGATGTGTGTTACCTTTGTGTCGCTTCTCCCTCTGAACCTATTCATCAACAGGCAGAGAATGTAAATAATTAACAAGTGGTACTTTTTTTTTTTTTTTTTCCTGTATTTTTAAGGAGGGATCTTGTCCGTGTGGAGGCTACTGTGATTGAAAAGACGGTGTCGTGGCAAAAAATCAACATGCGCTTTCGGAAGAAGCGCAATTACCAAAGGAAAAAAAGTAAGATATAAGGAACACAGAATACTTCCCTCCTGTTCTGTGGCTGGGATATGGATATGCCTGAAGAGAGATGTATCACAACACCAGTGCCTGGGAAGGGAGATGTACTTGCCATACCCATAGCACTCTTCTTTCCCAACTTGCTGCCCCAGATGTGTCCACTGTATTCAGAGCAAAAGAATCATGTGACTTTATTCCCTCTGTCCAGCACCTCTTGTTAGATAGCTTTGTAAAAGAAAACAAAAAAAAACCCTCAAAACCTTTATGGAAAAGAAAACATTCCAGGGAAGAAAAACAATTTTGGTCTCCTTCCAAAGCCTTAAGTACTGTCTACGTAATCACAGATACTGACATGCTCTAACAGTATCCTGTGGCAGTCCTTTTGACTCCTCCTTCTCAGATATGGCTGAGAGGGTGGAAAATGATGGCTGTTCTTTGCAGAACGGATGCTAAAATCTTAACCAGTATGACACTGTCCCATAGGAGCTCTGCCTAGACCTATTGCTCATGCAATACCATTGTCATGTAGCTGTCCTGCAATGTGGCTGCATCTGTCAGCACACACCCTCCTAGATACTGTTATGCCTTGGCTTGCCTAAATGCCTTCTGACTGGTATGCATCATCTGATCTTTTTTTTTTTTTTTCCCTCTTTTCATTCTTTTTCAGTTATCACGAATCCACAGACTGTCCTCCGGATAAACACCATAGAAATTTTCCCCTGTTTGTCGTGATTGATGGGATGTCGTGCAGCTTAGGCTTATTATTGCTTTAAGCAATTACGGAAATAAAACTGCCTAGGCGTCATAAAGTTCTGGACTTCTTGCTATTGTCTGAAGTGGAAATCTATATGTAATTTATTTTTAAAAACCAAATGAATTTTTTTTCGTTAACTGTTATTTCAAATTGTTATTTCAGCATTGATGGTGTTTACTTGTTCAGTGCCCTAAACAACCCCAGCTGTGTTGCTAGCTGACAAGCTGTTTCATGCCAACAACATTTACCTTTGGCTGCACACTTCTCTGAGTGCTTTTGTTTATCTGTGTTTCAGCTGATTTAAAAATAACTGGGACTTCACTGGTTGTAGAAGAGGGCCATCAACTCCCAGTCCCACAGATGGGTCTCTCAGCCTGGAGGGCAGGACATAAGTGCACAATTGGTTGATTTAAAGAGCCCACCACTTGCCTTAGTTACTCATGTCCTTGCAAGTTTCCCTACCCTGGAACTGTGGGTGCACTTAAGGCTAGCAGAGAGGCATGCATGTTTTGATGAGTTTGTTTCTCCTTTGGAAACACTCAGTGCTCTTCAGAGATTGCAGATAGGCAAGATATTTTTAAGAGTGTTAAGTGCTATTTATTTATTTGTTTATTTTTATTCCTCTCCTTACCAAGCTCTTGTTGATCTGTTAATACAATCTTGGCACTGTGTGGCTTCTGGGAATATTCTGTGGTGCTTTGTGACCCACAGCAAACATGGTGCTGAAGACTGCGGGGTAAGAGAATACTGCAGGATCCCAAATCTACTCCTAGATTGTATTAAGATGTGAAAATCCTTCTTAAACATTAACAACAGAAGATGCAGCTGGGAAATTTTCTTCTTAAAGGTGAGCCAAACTATTGCATAGCAGTAAATTCTGTGTGTATCTTATCATTGAAATAACAGATACCAGTGGCTTAGTGATTTCATACCTATTCCATAAGCAATTTTTTTGATCTCTGGTCTTGGTATTTTTCTCTCTTCACATTCTGCAAATCAGGCAGATCACTGAGCAGCATGTGCAAGGCCATATTCAGCAAAGGTGCATTCAGCAAAGGATTGCATTTGTTTCTGGACAGTGATGACAACTAGGAAGAGTTTCCTGCATCTTTCAGTAGGCTCTTGGCGTAGCTGTCAGATTCCCTACAGCCACCTTGAGAAATGACAAGTGAGCTCTGTTCACCTTGCACTTTTGTAGGGAATTCCTTGCTTCTAACAAGTCTTATGTGCCTTTGCTGCAATTCCTTCCTTAAAGTAATGTTGCCCCTACTCTGAATGGAGGAAATGCTGGTTATGAGCATAAGTATATCTGGGTCTTGTCCTGTCTTATAAGTCACTGTAAGCATGCAGGAAATAACTTGATGTGCTTTAAGCATCAAGCTTTGTAGTACAGGCTGCTTTCATCTTGCCTTACTTCAGCTTGAGGATGTGCTTGGGTTAAGCCAGTTCTCTAGTCACCAAAGAGAGGGGGTCATCTCTAGAGGCTGACTTGTCTCTCCTTGCTTTGGATAGTTTGGCATGGACAGCCCCTGGGAGAAGCTGTTCCTTCTCTGACTGTGCAGGGGGTTGGGTGCGTAGATTTTATGCTACTAGAAGAATACAGAGGCAGGGATCTTTCTGCAGAAGAGGTTCAATTTGGCTGTTGGAACAGTCACCTCAAGGCAGTGTGCACAGCCCCAGGCTGCTGTAATTCAAGGAGCATCTCAGTCATACAGTCTGATTTTTGGGTGGTCCTGTGCGGAGCTAGGAGTTGGACTCAATGTTCCTTATGTGTTCCTTTCAACTCACGGTATTCCATGATTCTGTTCTACGGTAACCTTCTTTGGTCATTTCATCTTGCTTCTTCTTTTTCAAGCTCCTACAGACAGAAGTATGTATGGGGGGATTTCTTTGAAAACCATCTTCTGGCACTGCTACCTCTTCTGCTTCTCCCAAAGGCGGCTTTAGTTCCTTGCTGGGGCCACAGATCCCTGCAGTAGCAATTAATTGCAATATGTGGTGCCAGCGTGCTGGCATGAAGAGTGTACTACCACAGACTATGCAGGGACTGCATTCCAGTTACAGGCTGTTCAGAGTCCGCAGCGGAAGCAGCGTTGCCAGCTGAAGCAATTTGACTGGGAACGTCACAATTCCCATGTGTTTCTCAAGGTCTGTGAGTGCTGGGGCTAAGAAACAGCATGGCTTCCAGGGGAAATTTCTAGCTTTCCTGGTTGCAGAGAAACACTTGTAAATCATGAGAGATTTCATGGCTCAGAAGCTGGAAGAAGGAGCTGAGGGTTTATTCAAAAGAAAAATATTTTCAATCCATGTGTCCCCTCCAAAAAAAAAAAAAAAAAAAAAAAAACCAAAACCCTTGGGAAAAGTGATTCTAATCCAGAAAAGACATAAGAAGAAGTTAGTTGGCTTTGTGCTGGGTTCAGTGCCTTTTTCAGCAAATATCAAGAATTCAGTCAGAAACCAGGAAATAAGAGGAAAATATCCAGATTTTATTGAATGTGGTGCATTCAGACTGAGACATAATGGGGCTACTCCTGACGTTTTCTTTGGAGGAAGTTAAAGCTCCTTACACACCAAATGGAAGCAGAAATCCTGGTTCTCTGAAGTGAAGCTGCAAGTCTCCTTGACTTCATGTGTTGTGGGTGGCCACTTGAGATTTTCTTTTTTGGCTGCTTCGTGTGCTTTGCCACACTCTAATAGTTTGTGCAAGGGCAGGAATTCTTCAACAAAACAGGCAGCACTGATTCATCATGGAAATTTATCTGCTAGGACAAAACATCTTTTTGGATAGCACGTCAGATCAGGGTGGAATTTGAGAGCTGCTTTGCCCAGTCTCCGACAATTAGGCATCTGCGTGGCTTAGATGAGATCCAGACCCAAGTTCCTGCCATCCAGCCTCTCTAAGCAAAGCTGCTGAGTTTGCTTCCCTTCAGTCTCCCCTTGGTGCTGTTTGACATTGTGTAAATAAGAATTCACTGCCTACAGTGCAGAGGGCATCTGTCTGCTCTGAATCAGAGCTGAATTCTAGTGCCTGCTCCCTGCCCACTGGCCACAAAGCCGCTGGCTGTTCTGCTTTCCCTCTTGTGCTTTCGAAGAATGCTGATAGGACTCTGCTTCATATCCCAGCAAGAAGGACAACAGACTTTGCAATGCTGACATTTTACCACTCTAAGGAAGCCTTGTTTTCTTACCAGTGTGGCCGAGAGGTTTGCTCAAAAAGAGGCATTGGTAAGTGCCATTGCTTCTCTGCCAGCTCTGCTTCAGCCTTGTGCTGCTCTCATATTCTCTTTTTTGGGATATAAATGCCTGGGTGTTACTAGATCCCAGCTGAACTGCACAACCCCTACTGCGCACCCCTTGTTCCCCTGTTCTCTTTCCAAAAGAGCTAGGAGAAGTGTTCAGCCAAGCACTAATTGAGCCTGAGCTATGGCAGCGAGTGTTATGTGCTGGTGAACAAGGATCAACGAGCTGTGGCCTGGCTGAATGTGAGCCCCAGCCCTTGTTTCATCCCTCACCCTCTTAAGAGCTATGGACTGTGGCACCTTAATTCATTTTTTTTTTTCCTCCCTTCAGACAGATGCTTTCAAGATTTTGGAACATGTTTCATTAATTTAAATGGCATGTACTCTTCTTTCTTTCCAATGGGATGTGATGGTCACAGCGGCTTGTCTTTGGGCTTCACATCTTGAAGACCTGGTAGCAATCTTTTGATATCTAAAGGGAGGTGTAAGAAAGAAAGGGGACAGACTCTTAAGCAGCCTGTTGTGAGGGGAAACAAGGGGAAACGGATGTAAGGAAGAAACTTTTTACAGTAAGGGTGGTGAAGCACTGACACAGGTTGCCCAGAGAGGTGATGGATGTCCCATCCCTGGAGACACCCAAGTTCAGGCTGGATCAGGCTCTGAGCACCTGATCAAGATGTAGGTGTCCCTGGTCATTGCAGGGAGCTGAATTAGATGACCTTTAAGGGTCCTTTCCGACACAATTCTATGATTCTATGAAGAAATGGATTCTCATTGGGATTGAAGTGGAAACGGCCCATGCTGGCCATCCTACAGGATGGCATTCTGCAGCGTCTCAGAGCTCCATCTGGATGAGCTGTCAATTACCTACATGATGGGATTCCTCTTCCATCCCTTGGCAAGTTGTTCTGTGCTCTAAAATAAGCTTCACAAGCACAGCCGTTCCACACAGCGTGAAGCCTTCCTGTTGTGAGGATCCATTATGTGTGCAGCATAATGAAGTGCGATGGATGTGGGGAGCAGCAGCAGCAGCCTTTCTTTCTGATGGCCAGCTTCTGCAGAGAAACAGAAGTGCCCTGAACTCTGTCTTTGGGACCCAAGGGACTTAACATCTTAGTTATGATACAGGCCTGCTTAACATTCAGCAGCCTGCACAGGCTGCAGGCATTCATCCTGGCGAAGTGGCAAAGTAGCTTAAGAAGTTCTTAGGATATCTCATTCAGGCCTTCAGGGTGGAAGGGAAATCCTGTTAATATGTCCCTTTGGTGTTTTTTTTTTTTTTTTTTTTTTAGTGTTTTTCTTTCTCTTTTACTTCCCCTGTCAGCTCTGCAAAGGCATCTTTGAACTAACATGTGCAGCCAGATTTATTTTCTCAGCATGATCCGGACACATTTTGGCTGCACATTGCAGTATGCCTCAGTGGTTAGAAATCAGCAGCAGACAGAATGTAGCACTGGGAAGCCGTGTTGGCTTGATGTCTTTTGCACTAGATGTTTTCTTTCTTCTTTTGTGACTGAAGAAATAGCCCTTTCTATTAAGAAAAGAGATGCTTCACCACCAGGTCCAGGCCAATGCAAAGCCATTATGGAGAAATCAGACAGCAAGCCTGGATATGAGCGAGCACAGGGGCTAGGTGCCTTTCATCTGTTTCCTCTCTCCCTATTTATAGAACATGGGTGAAGCGATTGGGATCCGTGTCCTTGTTTTGTAGTGTCTCTGCCTGGCTAGTAATACAGAGTTTGCACAGCTGAACCAAAGTCAGGTTTTGATTCCGATAGGAGCTTGCAACACTGTTGAGAAAGGAGTGGGCTTGGTG